ATAGTTAGCCAAAAGTTGTCGCACTGATAAAACCCCTTCAAAACCAGTTTCTTTGGCAGCTTACTCACTCGACTCTCCATTTCCCATTTTGTTTCAATTATCCCTTAGCCTTATCTCGGTGAGTTCAGCTCTCCAGCGTTTGGTAAAAGTGGATATTGAAAGGAGGACCGGGCTCAAGACGACAAGAGAAATGTTATGTTGGCTTTTAATTGAATTTTGAAACCGCATAACTGAAATCGCAAAGCCAGCCAAATCTTGACCTCCGCCTCACTTTACCACTGCCATTGGACAGGCAATAAAAGTGTTGTAAAAATCCGCCAAAAGTAATTTGTGCTAAGCAAGTTGATTTTTCAATCGGACAATCGAATTATTTATTACTCTACCTTTTGCAAGGAATATAAAAGTAATTCATTTGGAAAAAAAGTGTATTTGTTCGACGATAAAAGATAAAATATTTTTTGTAGATTTCTTTTTAATTTTTAACAAAATGAAACCTTTATTTTATAAGCTCACGCATATACCTCATTTGATAGTTCTTTACCCTTTTCCAGCAGCCTTAGTTTTTGGTGGGAAGCTGCCCGGTTGATTACAAGCGATTGCCACTTGGCGATAACGCTGCCAACAGCTCGACTCCGGACCCCAACCCCGACTTTTGCACCCCCAATCCGGCCCGTATGGCCCCGGTCAATTAGTTAGCGCATTAAAGGGGATTCCACAGCTTTCGAAGAACTGGGGCGGGAGTTGGACTGGCCGGTCAAGGAATTTATTGGACTCTCAAGTCCAAGTCGGTTATCGCTGTAACCAGGCTTGCCGGATGGCGAGGGGGTGCTTGAGAGAACCATTCTCAGATCGGCTCCAGTTGAGTCGTAATTGACTTGTTGCCAAGTAATCGTTGCCTGTTAACTGCTGTTGTCAGGGGATTATCTACAGTTCAGTTGAAATCGACTGTTCCTCGCCAGCATCCTGGAATCCTTAGATCCCACATACACAAACACACACACATAGGTGGGGGGCTACAAGTCAAAGTTCAGTCAACTGCATAAAAAGTGAAAAACAATAAACATTATTGGCCTGCTACTTTGTAGAGGGGAGAATGGCAACCATGGAGGTGTGCTGATAATTTAAATGAAAAATGATTTTAATTGGAATCTTGCACTCTATGGAACTCCCATTCTTCTTTTTAGGAAATAACATTTTAATTGGAAAATGGAAAACAGTATCCTACACTGTAAATGTGCTTCCCCTTTTTAAAGAGATCTATACTCTATTTTTTACTGTCAGATAGAGCTATCCATATTCTTTAGATACACAGTTTAATATTAACTTAACGAAATGTATTTTTAATTAAATATCATAAAAAATAAATCTATAAATAAAAAATGTTTTTGTTATTGTATCCCATCATCCCGTTTGTAAGCTCTCCAGCTAATTGGTTTTGCAATGGTCGAGTGTCCTAGAATATTTACCTGGTCCTTCGACCATCCATCATCTCCCCAACATGCTCAATCTCTGTCTGAAACTGGCGCACCGGAAGTGTGGCCGCAGCAATCAACGCGCCAAGTTGGAAGCCCCCTCATCCGTGTCCTGGCTGCACTGGCGGCCATTTTGGGAGCTTAACCATAAATGTTGCATTTCGCTTTTAAGCTGCAACCTAACGATGTGTGTGTGGAGTGTGTGGGGCAGCCGATGGAGGGGAGCTGCAGAGTTCGAGGATGAGGCTTACCAGCAATTTGGGTTGGCTTTTCCCCAGTCAACGGGGAGATGCAAGCTGGTAACCAGACAGCATCTGGCCACCTTTTTACACGTGCCTTGACTGCGCCGCGTCCTTTCAGCCAACCGCTCATCTCCGGCTAATTCTCTATGCATTTCAGCGCCGCAATTCAGGAAGAATCCCCTCCTTGCACGGCCCTCTATTCCTCCCGCACGCGTATCCCTTTGACCGGAGATGTAGTCTATTTGAATCTTCCACTTGTTGGCGCCCAGTTGGGTATTGGCATTCTTTGAGAACACCTGCGTGTATGGCAGCAATGTGAGAAATTTTGTAATCAATTGTTTAAATAAAAATATACCCAAAAATTTTAAATATTTATACATTAATTTAGCTTAATCGGGAAATCGAATCGAAAAATTATAAAATTTTTGGAGCTGATTATTATTATTATCTAAACCTATCTTAAGTATAAAAACGTAATGTTGTACTTTTTGCAGTAAGAGCATCTCAGCTTTTACCTTTTGACCTTTCGACTTTTATGCGGCCATTTTACACACGCACACACTGAAGCGGTAATGCCACCGCACACACACACATACAACTGACTGACAGCTTGTTTAATTTTTTTTTTTTTTGCTCCTTTAGTTTTTTTTTCGACCATTCAATGAGCTTTTAAGAGCGCTAATTAAAAATGTGGCAAGTGTAACCAATGCAGACGCATCCCCCACTCTTCCTCCCTTCCACCTGTTTTTCATGCCATTAAGGCCTGGCCCGAACGGATCCCACATAATGTGGCTGTCGTCGTCTCGCTTTCTATTGGCCGCTCTTGAGCATTTTGCGTCTCTGGGAGTGCGCAATTAACGCCTTTACTCTTGGCATTGGCAGCCCTGGAAAAACTAAGAAAAACCTCAGACCCCATGCTTACGCTTTTCTTGCACTGCCCCCACTCTTCCCGGCAAAAGCCCCTGTGGTTATTGCGGCTTTGTTTGTGTGGAAAGCGTTTTTAGATTGCATATTTATTAAAATGCATCCAAAGTTGCAGCACATGAAAGCACAAACGCAAGACGAACGAGCTGAGGAAAAGCTAAAATGTAATAACTCTTGTTGGAGGCCCCCATCCGCTTTTCCGACCACCCATCCTCCCCTTAGTTTTTCCAGGCTATGCATTTCCGTAAGCAGCTTTTGTCCGCAGGTGTTTTCTATTGTGTTGGCTCAACGCTCAACGCTCAACGCTCGATGGAAAACGATGCGATGTAGGTGAGGCATTCACAAAAATATTGGATCATTGTTGATATTAAGTAAGTTAAAAATTATTTTACCTATTTTAGTTTTTAAAAAACAAATACTTTTCAATACATTTATATCCAAAATCTTTTTTATTTTTGATGAATTTATTTATATTTTTGATACATCGCACCTTTTTCTTTAGTGCTCAGAGCGAGCGTTCATTTTGTTGCCAAGGATTTTTCAAGACCAAGCTGCTTATTATCGCGAAAAGAGAAATAATAAAAAGGAGCGGCAACTAATAAGCTTATGGCTGTGCAACCTGCCATCGCCCAGCCACCCAATGAGCTAGCCATCATCCTTGCCGGGCTCTGCTAATTGTGAGCTAATTCTAATTATCAGCAACACATTCGAGAGGTTCTGGTTCTCGTTTTGGTCCTGGTTCCGACTCCTCCTTTTCTCTCTCTTGAAAGCTAACGAGTGTTTATTAATGGCGCTAATGGCAAGCGACGCCTTTGATGAGCGTAAAATGCTTAAGCACACAGATCCTGGCCGGGCTTTTTACTTTTCCTTCTCCTTTTCAGGCCACGCAATTAGCGCACAAATATTTCCGCATACATTTCGTTCTATATATATATAAATATATATACCTAATTTTTTTGTATTTCTGCTGCCTTTCCATTTTGGCCATAAAAATGCTCAACCGAATTGTAGTAATTACAACAATTTGCATAAGAGCGGGACAACGAGGAAAGGCGGAAATCAAAAAGCGCAAAGCACCGAGGAGCCAAGCGCACAGAAGTATGCTACGCATTTTGCAATTTATTCAGGCAGACAAACGGGTAAAAGGACAACCAATAAATTCAAAAAAAAGAGCTCTGAGCGAAAACGCTAATTATGTAATATGAAAATGCGAGGACAACGTTGAATTATTTGCATATGGTAAGCAGCAGCACAGGACAACATAGAACCCTTATTTTGTGATCCTTTTTTTTAGGTTTTCTGTGTATACCGTGTTTTTTAACCATTATCAAATTCAATTAACACTCCGCATGCGGCAAGGAATTTTTTAATTTTTATTCCCATTGCTGTGTGGAATCGAAAACCACACACAAATCAAATCCGCACTCACTTCTGGGCACAGCTTCTGCTGCAGTTGAAATTTCAATTAGGCCAACAAATTTACAATTGAATAAATTCAAAAACCTGAAAACCTTGCAACGCTTGATGTCGATTAGTGCAACAAAGTGCAACAACCGAGCGGAAGACAACAGCACCATTGTGAAAATCATAAATTCTGCCAATTGAAGGTGGAAAATTCGATTCTCTCTGCATAGGTCAGGCAAGTAAATCAAATGTGCTGGAAATTACATTTGATACTTTATTTGAAACCGAAGAGGAGATACAAGAGTGATTCACTTGATAATGTAAATTTGTTCTTTTATTTTAACTGCAAGGATCATCAACAATATGAACGGAAGCAAATTGGCGAAAAAGCAAATGGTTTACACTTTGCGTCGTTTGTTGATACGTATAGAATATATCTTTTTGTTTTATAAAAAATCATTTTAAAATTATTTAAAACCTTATGTAATTCTTTAATAAATTATTAATTTGCAAAAATAAGTAGCTTATTGCTATTTAAATATTTTTCCGCATATTTTTTCTCAGATTAATTGATACACTTTTCGGCTCAAATATCTAAAATAATATTGTTTATATATTTTTTATGAAGTTTAAAAACATGTTTTTACATTACTTACCTTATTCAGTTGCAGTATGGTCAAAAGCTTTTGCAATCGATTTAAATTTCAGGTAAACTCTCACCTGAAGATTCATGGCATAATACCCGAATAAAAACCCACAAATTACTAAAACAAAAAAAATAATAATAGCTGGAAAGCAGAGTAAACACGAAAAGTATTCAGGAAAAAAGGGCATTTCGCCTGAGTCGCGTTAATTTTGCATGCCCCAAAAAGTATGCAGTGCGACGGAAACGGAAACGAGAGCGTGAAATTTCAATATGCTGCTTACACCACTACAATTCTGCATGGCAAAAAACCAATTTCAATTTGTTAACCATTTTTTTATTCCCAATCAAATTTATTACATAGGCTCACAACAGAAGTATTGAGTAAAGGGGAGCTTGGGTTTGCCACCAAAAAACGAGAATATGGAAAACAAATTCGCAATCGGCGCTTATTTTCTTAAAAATATACATATCCATGTGTTGGCCGGGATGGGTTCCTCCTCTTGCTGCTTCTCCTCCCGGCCTATTTGTATGTGTGTGGGTGAGAGTGTGTGTGAGTGTATTTATTGTGCTGCAAGAGTGTGTGTTTGCAGGACAATTAAAACCAGGCAAACACAACAAAAGAGGGCGGTGGTATAGCAGACTCTCGCCCGTGGCCCTAGTAAATGGTAATCAACGCAAATCCTCCATAGAGCACCGCACACGGATAGGCAATCAGCAGCTGTTGATGGTCCATGGAGAAGGCGGTGGCGAACAGTTTCGAGGCCGATATGGCGCACCAGAATATGGAGATGCCGCTCACAATTAGGCCGAGTGTGCCCCTGCAAGAGTGAAACGAGATACCAACTCAGTCCAGATAGATATAGACAGCGGTGAAATCAATAAACAATGCATATGCATGAACCAGCATTCGTACAGTGTAAGAAAAAGAACACAATAACAATCTGAGGCTCTCTAATCACATGTGCAATGTTCGCAACTCCACAGGAATAATAATTAACATTGCTATAAATAGATGCCAGAGTAAAGAGCTTTACTTAAACTTAATGTTGTTAAAATTACATTCTCAAATTCCAATAATAAGATTAAATATAATTTAAAGTTTCTAAACATATTAAAAGGATGAAATGATGGTTTTGGTGTGTAACGCTTTCCTCAATGCATCGGTTTCGGAAAGAGTATTCGACTGACAAAATGTTCATAAAAAAGGATGAGTATGTGTACGTTGGTGTGGGTATGACTGAGCGTGTGTGCGAATGAATGGGCAGGGCAAACAAAGACAGCAGGCGATGTGCCGGCAAAAGGATGTGCAAACATAGCCCAACTACAAAGCGCACACATACTCCAAACAGGCTCCCACAGAGAAAGCCCAGCGGAAAATGAAAAATTGATTTCAAAGCGATATACGGAAAATGTTACCTATATCCCGAGCAAAGATTAAAGGCAAGCTAACTAAGATAGAATCCCTATAATTGAATACTTTAAGAATAGTGAATATTTCTATGCAATCTATATATGTCTTTTAGAAATAGAGAATACGAGAATAGCTATTTACTTTATAGTCTTCCAAAATCTTTGGTAGACCTCCCTTGTCACCAACTAAACAAACATCTCGATAACTCTGCCTTGACCCTCGAGTTCAAACATTTTAGAACCATTAAATCAAAGTATAGAAAACAAACTTAAATCTATTGAGTTTATGTTGCCATTGACGGCCATTGACTTGGCCTTGACAAACAATAAAATACTTGAGTTAAAAATAAACAAGTTGTGTGTTTTAAAGGATACTCAAAAAGAGATATTGGCATATGTCTAACCCATTCCAGACTGTCTAGTCTATCAAGTTGTAAGTCTAGAATCTTTTCCCGTTAAGCCATTAAATCCGGAACAGAAATCAATTTACAAAACCGAAACATAAATCCCCATATTCGAAAGTTCCAATTTTCAGCTACACGCACTCGTTTAATGGATTGCCTTTTCTGTGGTCTCGGCGGCTCGGCTGTCACCTCCACCTCCACGACCACCTCCCATTTACCACTCAACCAGTTCACTTTTTTTTCATCCTCTAGTCCGTGCAATCTTCTCCAGAACTTTGTTGGTTGTTGGTCAGTGTGTCCGTTGCTGGTGCCAAGTGATTTTTTGGCCCGGACTGGGGCAGCTTAAATGGTCCGGCACTAGCCTAAAAACCAATCAAAACAATACTATGAGGGACCGGATAACTCGACTGTCTGTGTAATTTTTGCGCACTTTTGCATCACCAAACAAACTCAATTAAAAAGTCTGTCTAAAAAAGGACAGCGGAGAATCGCAAAAATATTTACTGTAAACTTGGCTGGCATTCACAGGGACTATATGAACATCAAAGCTAGCACATACACGCCCACCCACAAAAGTGCAAGCGCTTAAAGCCAACAAATAAAAAATGAAAGCAAACAGGCAACCAAAATGGCAATTGCACTGGGCAGTTGGACAGTTTGGTGAAAGGGTTGGGTGGGGGTCTGTGGAAAATCGGTAGAGTTTTTGGGGCCGATGGGTGGATGGGTGAGGCAAGCTTGGTGTCGAGTAAGCCCGAGCAATAGTTTATTTTTACACATAGTCACACACATACGCACACTCTTATTTCCAGCTCTCGCCACCCACCGCAGCACTTAGTTTCCCCGCACCGCTCTGAAATTATGACGTGCCAAAGGGGCGGGTGGGCAGTTGGTGGATCCACTAGAGGAAGCGCTAAAAACTCACGCAGCATTTGCGTGTTGCTCCTCGCATGGCCGTCATAAAAAGCGTGGCGAGTGAGTGGAGCTAGAAAAAACAAGAAAAAAAAAACGCTGCCAGAGAAAAAAGGCGGGGCGGAAAAGGCAAGGAAAAGTGGGCGGGAAACCTGGCTAGCAAGTGCTGGACACATATTTGAAAAGGAAACTACGTGAACGAAACTCAACGGGTGGCAAGACAGGACATGGAACGTTAGACAGATGGACACAGGACCGCCTGGCAGGAACTTTTCCACCACCCACTCAACAAAACCACCCACTCCACAACTGCTCTCAACGCGAAAATTAAACGGCGCATAGTTGGCGTTATTTTGCTCCGTTTTTTTTTTGCCTGTCTTGCCTTGGCTTCAATGGAGTCCTAGGTCCTCAGTTCTCACTCCAACGTCCGTAGTCCATAGTCCATAGCTTGGACTCCTCGGTCTGTAGTCTGTAGTTTGGCAGTTGTGGCCCTGGAGTGCACTAAAAGCGCAAATTAAGTTGGCTACTCTTTTTTATTCGCATCTATGTGTATGCATCGCTGGCCCAAAACTGCAACAAAATTAAAAACCTAAATTGTGCGCAAAGAGGCAAGGGGAAATCAAGCCCAACGGATGGTCAGATAAAGAAAAATTAAACGCTGGCCCAGGAGGAGTTGCTAAGGACAAGGATGGCTTCTAGGAATTAAGAGGTCAAGTTTTATCATTCATTTTTTGTAATATTATTAAAGAAGTTTAAGAGACAATTTATTCATGAAATTATCCAAAAGAAAAACAAAAAGAAAATCTGTCTTAAAAGTTTTCCATCAAAGACGTTTTCATATCCTTTGATATTTACAAAATGTAAACGTGTTTCACCACATGTCCCTACAACATATCATTCTAAGCTTTCTATTTTCATATTATTATAAGTTTTATTTGCAAACCACTTTTACTTGAAAATTTGCTTAAACGAAATAAACAGTAATCGATAGAACAAATAAAATAGCTTGTACAAGTGCAAGAATTAAATTTGCAACAGAATAGTTATATAAAGCGCATTCAATCCAATATCTATCACCCACTGGGGCATTTTCATTTTGGCAAGGGCATCTATTTCATTACAGATACATGACCATTTCAAACAGAAATTGCAGGCTCAAATCAAACAATCGAAAAACAACACCAGCAATAACAATAACAATAATAACAGCCAGAAGTGATCAGCTTGAATAGACGAGGAGGAAAGGCGGAGTCGAGGCATCAATTGGACAAATTTGAATGGCAAGGAACAGATCGAAAACGTGCTGCAGTCGCAGCTGGGCGAGCTTAGGCAAAAGTTTGTAATTACAGGCCACAAACAATGAGGAGTCGACGCCAATGCATTGGCAACTTTTCAATTAAAAACATAAATATAAAGCACAGGGGGCACTGCGGGGTGGAACGAATGAAAGGGCAGATGAAAAGCCAGCGACTTGTGTCAACAATTACTTACTGAATGGTGATTAAAACGTTGATGCCGGACAGCACCACCATGGGCAGCAGACAATAGCCAAGCACCGAGGCCACCGCTCCGAAGGTCACCTGCGACCGGCTGACCATCAGGGACAACAGGCAATAGAAGAAGATGCAGCCCATTACGCCGATTCCGTAGATGTAGGAAAACGTGACTTTACCGCTCTGTGAGAGAAGAAACAGATTTTCATTAATAGTTAAAAAATAACTTCTATTTAAAAATGAATTTCGAAAATAATTTTGAACCAATTATTAAACTATTAATTAAATTTGATTTAAAAAGATATAATGTAAAAGTTATATGTATAACAAACCAGTAAAAGGAAGCCGCCAAGTGTGAGGCAAAAGACCAGTGGACCCGCCATGTCCGTGTCCTGCAGGATTTGCTGGTCGGTGGCTCGCAAAGGATTCAGCACGGCTAGCGTCTGGGATGAAAAAGAGCGAAGTAGTAATACGATTAAAATTAGAGCAAGTGAAGGATTACATAGTAAGGGCGTCGGATCGGGTTGACAGAAGTCCGTCCGACCGGCAACAGGCCATCATCACTCATGGAGCCTGTGGCACGGGAATGGGATTCAAAACACGGGACTTCGGTCCCGGGGACACTACACAACACAATTCATTTGTTCGCACAGCGGTCATAAAACGGAGCCCAACTCCCGTTTTTCCAAACATTTGTTCTCTATGCGTTTTGGTTTTTCCCCTTGTTTTTGTATTGTGTGTGCAGTGGCAGAGAAATTTGAAAAATGGAAATTGATGATAAATGATATTGCTGACCAGCCAGCCAGCTAGCAAGTGAGCCAGAATTTGGGAACTGGGCCAAAAGCTGTCAACGCATTTGACGCATGCGAATGTGGGCCAGGACAAGGGCCATGAAATTTGATATTACAGCCAGCAAGGACCCACCAAAAATTGTCGATGAAATTCCGAGTGTCTCTCTGTGGGTTTACCAACCTTAATTGAGATTGAAAAGAATTTGAAGTGGAAACATGCAACCACACAAGAATTGTTGAAAATCAATTCGATGATACGGTTTTTTTTATTTTAACATTTTTTCAGATATCAATTAGATAAAATTGGAAAAAAAATGGTAAGAGCAGTGAGACATATTCATGAATGCATTAGTTCATTTATCAATTTATAAACTTTTTAATACCTTCCTTCCTTTTATTCCACGGATCTTTCTTCCGGTTTTCCAAATTAAATATAAAAAGTACAATAAAAAGATGAAAAAACATTCCGATGAAACTATCTTTAGGCGACCCATGTCACACCACGTAAACCCTGAAAAATACCTCTGTTGACTCTGCCATTTGCCAACGATCCATTACATTAACAATCAGCCCCAGAGTCAAACACAAATCTAACCATAATTCCCCCAGCTAGCTGATGAACAATTTAATTAGCATTTCGTTTCATTTCAGTTTTATGATGGCACACGGACTCATTAACATTAACATTTTCATTTTTCAATTAACACAAGCGTAATAAATTCCGTGCCGGAGCGAAAGAAATGAGAATCAGGCGCACGCAAATTTTTTACAAAATGGACAAAAATGCAGAAAGTTACAGCGTGAACTGGACCGAACACGAACGGGGGGATAAAATGAGCGAGAAAAACTTTAATTAAAAACACAAAAGTTGCTTTATTTATTTAAAAACAACTACAGCCAGGCCGGCAGCGAGTGAAATGAAAAAATATGTCTTCATTAACGACACAAACCGGCAAGTGCAGCGACAACAAAGCATACAATAAAAAATGCAAAAAATTGCAGGGAAAAAAAAGAAAACAATAGAATTATTGCGGCAGGAGAGGAGAAGCTAGCAATAAATACAAAAGCGAAATGCAAAAACATTTAAATTTCAATTAAAACGGAGTTGGCGGAAAAGCGCGGCCTAAAGTGGCCGCCCAAAAGAAATACCACCCGCTGCGTTGCAAAAATTAGAAAAAAGCAAGGGGAAAAGTGCGTAGAGGCAAAGCTGGAATTATGCGGCGGGTAGAGTAATTGTCCGGGCAAACAAAGTGGGCAACTGAAAACTCAAGGCTCTTTTGTGGTGTGTGTCGGTGGCATCCGGCGGGAATCGGGCGCATAAAATATGCAATTTGCCCTGCTCCACTCAAGATCTCTAGTTAAAATTGCGTTCAAGTGCAGCGAGGTAAAAAGGAAGAGCTATCCTCTTCCACCTCCGGGCATTTCCAAAGGTGGAGTACGCAAATTATAAAAAGCTAAAGCAAAGCTTTCTTTTGTTCTACTTACCTTTTGAAAAATGTGATTCGGATTGATGCCCAGTTCTGCAACAAGAAATAAATTAATTAAGTATAAGTTTTATTATTGAATATTAAATTATTTGGGTAAGTACTGAAGATGAATAAGTTCTTACATTCTTGGAATTTAATAGGTCTTTTTATATTCAATTAATCTTTCGTTTATGAAGGTTTAAAGATATGTCTTGCCTAGTTATGTCTGATCTCTTCTTATTAGTAGTAGTAGTACTATTGATAATGGCATCGAAAATATATAAATTTTTTTGTAAAATGCTTTGTGTATCAAAGAAAATTTAAACATGTGGGTAAGGAATTCTAATAATCCAATAATACATTACAAAAACACTTATTTATGATTTAAAAATTCGTGTCTATCTCACCCTCCAAAAGTGGCGGCTCATCATCAAACTCGTTGCCGGCTCCTCCGGCGACACCTGACTTTCCACTCTTGTCTTGTCCGTAACTTGTATCGGTGTATGCCGTGGGATCATAGAATCCTCCAAGTCCTTGAGACGGGGTTTGGGCATAGGCCGCATCATAGTTCGGTGGAACAGAGGCCTGTGTGTTGTCAAATGTTTGGAAATTCCTGTAAGGAAATAAAGCAACAATTATTGGTTTAGCACTGAAATTCCTAGTTATAACTCACAGTTCTTGACCAAACTCTGGCATGTCGAAATTGTAACTGGCATCAGCCGAAGGCGCCGAGCCGTAAAAATCATTGGTTCCACCAAACTGAGCCATAATCACTTTAATTTAAACCCAATTCATATATTTACAAAATAAAACACACGTCAACTAAAGAAGGACTATCGTCTTGAAATATTTCTGCGATAATTATCGTTAGTAGCTATCGCTTAGAAATATCACTGGTTAATATATATCGATACTTTTCGATTTTTATTTCGAAAGGCGGGAAGAAATATTTTTTGATTTCTGAAAAATGTTTCGTATTGTAGCAATTAAATATAAATATATGAAAAATGGAGAATCAAAGCACAGCCGAGTAATAAAAAAAACACCAACAATTTTTGTAACATTCATAATACATTTTATTTCCATAGCTCCATTCGCAACACACACAAGTTACTGAAATAGCTATTATTCTTTGGTAGTAGAGGTATATGCTTTTGGGGCTACGTTGTTATTGCGTTCTTTAAAGGTCTATAATATGTAGGAATATAATATTTTGTAATTTCGTAAAGTTTCAAACTCCCTTTAGATTCGTTTAGTTGGTTTTAGTTTCACACAAAAGGGTAACGAACACAATCGATAACTATATGAAAATTTACTAACAATAGATTGGTATTATAATTATATATCAACATAGATAAATATACATTTGTTGTATATGTATGATATTTATGTTTATGGCTGGTTTAACTGCGTTTCATTTGCGCTACCGACTAATTATTGTTCGTCTTTCCTAACTCGCCGTCGTCGTGTGTTTTTTGTTTTGCGGATTTTTCTGTTGATTCGATTCTGACCTGACTAGACCTGAAGCGGGCCAAACTGTTTATAAACTTATAAATAAACTTGAATTCAAATATCTTATTATGCATTATGTAAATATGACTAGATTGAATGGGGAATTCGAATAATAACCTAGCTTTGGTTTCTTATTTCGATTGGTTTGCTCCTTAGTCCATTCTTCTTGCTAGGAAATCCCGCAGTTGTTCTTGGCTGGCTCCGCTTAATCCTCCAGATTTCGGAAGGCTTGCTGTAGGTCCTCGTATAACTGATCGTAGTCCGCTTTGATCTTTTGCTCGCCATCTTTCACAGGGTCCTACAAATGATTAATATTAATTATTAATATATATTATTAAGTCGAGCTAAGAATTTACGAAATTCGCAATCAATTTAAATTATCAAAAAAAACTTACCTTGAACTTCATCGACGACAGCTGATACATAATTCCGCCCATCGACTCCCTAATGGTGTTCCATGTAATCTTGTTATCCGACTGGGCTGTGGACTCAACGGCATGCCGGGCGGTCTCATAGAAGGCCATGATGTTTCTCAGCATGCCAACCGTCTTGTAGAAGGGACACACACGATCGTACGGCGAGTAGGAGTTCTGTTGCAGGAAGTCGTCTTTCAGGAGCTTAGCCACTTCTAGGGTTACCTTGTCTGTCTCGGCCAGCGATGCCTTGCCCACCAGTTGCACAATTTCAGACAGATCCTCCTCCTCCTGCAGAATCTCCTTGACCTTGGTACGCAATGGCACAAATTCGGGGAAGTTCTTGTCATAGTATTCATCCAGGGCGCGCATGTATTTCGAGTAGGAGATGAGCCAGTTGATCGAGGGGAAGTGCTTTCTCTGGGCTAGTTTCTTATCGAGACCCCAGAACACCTGCACGATGCCCAAAGTCGCGGAGGTTACGGGATCGGAGAAGTCACCACCGGGTGGAGATACAGCTCCGACAATGGAAACGGATCCCTCACGCTCGGGGTTACCCAAGCACTTGACGCGACCAGCGCGTTCGTAGAAGGTTGCCAAACGGGCGCCCAGGTAGGCTGGGTAACCGGAATCGGCAGGCATCTCAGCCAGACGTCCCGAAATCTCACGCAGAGCCTCGGCCCAACGGGAAGTGGAATCAGCCATCATAGCCACGTTGTAACCCATGTCACGGAAGTATTCAGACAGAGTGATACCGGTGTAGATGGAGGCCTCACGGGCAGCCACAGGCATGTTGGAGGTGTTGGCTACCAGGGCGGTACGCTTCATGATGGACTCGGTCACTCCATCGATTTCGCATGTCAGTTCGGGGAAGTCACGCAATACCTCAGACATTTCATTACCTCGCTCACCACAGCCGACATAGATGATGACATCGGAGTTGGAGTACTTGGACAGTGCCTGTTGAAAGATAATTAATATATAACGTAAAAAGATTAAAAATACTTAAAACCTAAAAATTGTTTTTTTTAGGAAGAATCAATTTTTACTTAGTAACTCACCTGAGATATGACTGTTTTTCCACAGCCGAAAGCTCCGGGGATGGCAGTTGTGCCACCCTGGACGCAGGGGAAGAGCGAATCCAAGACGCGTTGGCCGGTGAAGAGAGGATGGTTGGCTGGGAGCTTCTCGGTAACAGGACGCGGCTGTCTTACAGGCCACACCTGCAACATAGTGTGCTTGGTAATCTCGCCGTCGAATTCCGTCTCAAGAACAATGTCTTCAAGGTTATAGTTGCCGGCAGGGGCAATGTATCGAACAGTGCCCTTGGCCCTGGGCGCCACAATCATGCGCTGCTTCACCAATGTGTTCTCATGGACCACTCCATACAAATCGCCTCCGGTAATATGCGAACCCACTCGCACATTCAGTGGATTGAATTCCCACATCTCCGACCGAGACAAAGCGGTTGTGTTCACACCTTTGGGTATATAAATGGAGTTGGTCATCACACCAATGTCCTTCAAAGGACGTTGAATGCCGTCGAAGATGCTGCCCATGATGCCCGGGCCCAGCTCCACGGACAGTGGCTTGCCGGTACGCAGCACGGGATCACCCACGGTGACGCCGGAAGTCTCTTCATAAACTTGTATGGTGGCCATGTCGCCCTCGAGACGAATGATCTCACCCACCAACTCGTAGTAGCCGACGCGTACCAACTCGTACATAGCGGATCCAGACATAGCCTCCGCGGTGACCACTGAAAGGGGAATAAAAGAACGGGATGAAAAGGGTCATGAAACAATGGATTAGCAAGAGAAACAGCGTTAGGGTAAACATAAGAAGTAGCGAAGACATCATAATAAAGAAAACGAGAAGTAAAATTAGCAGAATAAGGATGAAAAACAGTCGGGGAATGAGCGAGAAATTAAGAGATTAGTTAGATCTTGGGAGTCAGCGACTGAAGGACGCTGGTGACGTCGCTCACCTGGTCCCGAAACCGCGTAGACACGGCCATATTCCGACTCGCGCTCCTCGTCTTTGAATTTCCTCAAGTTGGACATGGTCGCGGTTGCTTCTCTTCTTCTTCTGCTTCGGTAACGGTCAAAACGTTCGATAACTGTGAAAAAGTAACCGTTTTTTCTTATAAACAAAAACACACATTTTTCATGCCCCCGAGATAGTTTTTCGTGTGCGCTGAATAAGGAAAATCGTAGATGGCGCTGTTGTGCAGCAGCAAAACCCAACGGCAGCCCCCAGTGAAAAGCTTCACACCCCCGCAGCCCAGCATCGATTTTCCAATACAATTTTCACGCATGCCACGAACGGCCAGCTTAACTTTTCACTTTTTCCGCAGCACAATTAGGATTTTAACATTTCCCTTTTATTACGCACACTGAGATCTATGTTCTTCTTGTTTTATGCGGTAATTACTGATTTTTTGGCTGACCTAAAATTAAATATGCTCACATTTGTTTCACCAGCTCTTATGAAAACTCTCTTGCTTTTTTGATTTTTCTCTAGTATTGATCTATCGTTTATCGGCGAGGGTGCCAGGTTCTTGGTAGGAATGGACTCACGCCAAACTTAAATCGTAGCACGCACTAAATATACTCACGCTTTAATAGCGGGATTCCATTGACAGATTCTCAATACTTAAAAAAATACTAAAAAGGCTTTTCAAATTAAAAAATCATTTATATTTTTAAGATAAGGAAATATATTGGCTTGTCCCAAAGGTAGAATTAGTTTGCATAATTTCTATGGGGGTCAGTTTCTAATAAAACTGTTTTAATATTTACTAATGCTTTCGGGGATATGCTACCAGGAAAAGCTATTTCAGAGGATGTCTGAGGACTTCCGGTTTTTTCCAATCTTCCACAGGATCAAGTATTCCAACAGGTAAATTAACATTAATATCCATAGCTTTCGTAATTTTCTGAAAGAATACGAATATAAAAGGAATTAGTGCTAGTACGACTAAGACCGCAGTATAGTGCTTAATTCCAAAACCAACTGAGCTTGGCATTCTTCCCGATAGCCCCCAGCTTGGACCTATCCATAGCATTCCACCGCTAGAATTGTCTTTGTATTGCGCCGCCACAGCTTTATTGTATTCAGCCATAGACTCATTGAAGTGGTAGTCGAGCTGCGATTTCTCAAGATCGAGATGTTTTAAAGACTGGTCGGCACACAGTTGAGAGCTGTTTTTGGAGACCGAGCACCAGAAGATTGTATAGCCAATGAGCCCGTTCACTTCCTGCGGTGGCTGCCAAAACATGGTATTAGATTTGAGATTGTACCACAGCTTCTGGGGCTGACGGCGCGTAGAGTTGGTCAAAATTGGAACACGGATTATTGATCCATTCATCGAACGCCCCAAAGAGTTCTGGCTCCAGACGGAAACGCTGCCCGCCTCCTTGGCATCCCATTTATGAAAAACTGCGGAGTTGTTGCCCAAAAGAAACGGTCTTTTAGGAATACTGAAAAATGTTTAGAAAGAATTGCTCTAATTTTTAAATTTTTTTGTTTTAAATTTTGTTTACCTATTGTTCGATTGAACGATATAAGTGAAGTTGGGTCCACAAAACTCCAGTTCGTCCAGCTGTTGCCAGAAGACGTAAAGATCACTTTCAACGGAGTCGAAAAAGAATCCAGTGGATACTAACTTTGGCGGCTGCTCTGGAATTGAGGGCTGAGTTGAAAAGTGGAATACAAAATACTCAGTCGGCCAGGGTGATTCGCTGTAGTTATATCGAAGCCACATGCGCACTTCATATGCCTGGTTGCGATAAGAAGGGATCTCAAAACATTTTGGCCTTCGTCTCATATCATCTATTTCGGGCAGCACATTGGCGTCATGCTCCTTTATCAATGAATTCCGCGGAAGTAGCTTTACTCGCCATTCATATGCAGAGCTAGCCCAAGCCCACGCATGCGACCCAAAATCAACGCAGGTTGTGTTATACTTCGTGCTAATCTCAGGCCACCTAGGTGGCCAATGTGGAATTTCCATTTGAATCCGTGTCAAGCGGATCTCTTGCTTCTGCACATTATCTGAAAGGTGCAGTTCCAGTGTGAAAGTGTGATTGAAGTTAACAGTGTATTCAAAAGCAGGTCTCATATTGAGTTCCTCCAAAATTGCGGTATAATCCAGTTCAAATTCCGGGATGCACTTCATCCGTTCCGATCCACGACATTTCCGAGCTACTCCATTATCCATGCTCAAGTAGTAGGTGCTGATTTGCCACAGATACCTATCTCCCAGCTGACTGAAGCTGCACTCGACTGGCGATCCGGCCCCACTGTGTTGGCACTCAAAGTCCTGAACATTTAGCAGGGGCGGCACATCAACAAACCTTAGATGTGAGCTCATATCGCCCAACAGGCATTGGAATTTCATTGTTGTACCTTCCCTTTGGGGTTCGGTCCACCCTGTATTTTATGCTAAAATCGTCGACATGCACTGTTTCCACTTTGCTATCATCCATCAAAAGTATCATTTCCCACGTTTCCGTAATGTAATTGTTATAGAAACAAATCACATCGAATCCTTCACCGCCATGGACATAAGTTGGTTTGGTGTACACGACTGGAGAATTATATGCCCAACAATTTGCCATGGTGGCCAACAGAACGCACATCGAAAAGATCATGTTGAACGAAAGTTATTATTCGAAATGAATATTTTGGTCTCTGTTTGCGGCTGCTTATCTCTATATTTTTTTTTCGGTGACCCTGAGTAACATTTTTAATTCGACGTAATTTAACTTTTCGTAGAGTTAGAATCATTTCTAGTTTTATATTTCAACGTAACTAATAAAATTTAATGTTTTCCATTTAATCAATAGTAAATTAATTGAACCTCGGAAACTTAAATATTTGATTCTGCTTCCACAGAGAAAAAATAAAATAATAAGCTCATATACAAATGTTACGAAAATAATGTATACGAATAAAACACAAATATAAAAATCTAACCATTGTTCACATAGCACAAAAAATATATTACATTTGCATGAACAACATGTAATGTTGTTAGTTGCTTTTAAGTTTAATAATCTAACTCGCATATATATTTGGTTTTATTCTCGCATAGTTTATCGTTCATATAAAATCCGTCTTCTGATTTCAGTTCCACACAGTGTTCTGCTGCATTCCCATAGACACGGCTGGGCTGGCCAGTTCCCCACTTCAGATAAGCTGGTAATCCGGTTGCTTGAGAAACGTATTTGTCATCTTCACCCAGATTGTTGATTCCCACCCAATATCGTTGCTTATTCACCAATTTGGCAATGATTTGATTTAACTCCTCTAGATTCCTTGGAGTAGCCAGAAAGCCTCCTTTCTGTCGGCAGATATTCGATGCGGCCCACCAGTTTACCTCGTGATCGTGTTCGATAAAAAAGTATCTTGAACCTATTTTCTCGAATCCTTGAAAATGCTTTTCCAGAGATTCCTCAGATGCATTACATGCAGTTTTTGCCAGGAGCAGACTGCGTTGTACGGCATCAAGCAGGAAGCGAATACTTTCTAAACCTGGTCCAACTGGTCTGTCTTTGTTATTTGGAGAAGTCGAAGCTTCTCCATTGAGTGCAGCGACCAAATATTCCTGCATATAAAATGCACTCAAAATACCCAATAGAAGTGTTACCTTCAACATTTTTTGATTTATGTACGTTAGTCTTTAACAGATGTCTACTAAATTCAAAGTTTCTTGAAACTGTGCGTAAATACGCTCCAACCTCTGCGATTATATACAATTCTGATAATCCATTATACCATATATACGAGTACTAATGTACATATATACATACATATATTTATTTTGTTTTTTCTCTCTAAGAAAGATGGTGCATTAACCTGAACCAGATTAACCATTAATTGCATATTTTTATATAAATTAAAAGGAAACGACCCAAGCCTGGACTTTGATTTATTTTTGATTCGTCTTTATTGGAAATCGTATACATATATGTAAATTAAAGGGAAACGAGTCAAATATATAAATTATTATACATATTGAAAGACTTTTTACCTTAACAATAATTGTTGTCGAAAAACGAAGATATAGATAGAAAAACTGATAAGCGAACGATTGGTTTTGGACGCCTATTTGGCGTACTGTTTTTACTTTTGAAAATATGTTTCTCATTATTTACTTTTAATTAAAATGGAAAAAAATTGCATTACCAAATTTGAATGCCATCCTATTCAAGATAAAGTAACTAGATCAACGTGATATGACAATGTGATATTACAACAAGATAATTTTTTGAATTTTTAGGTTTGAATGGAGTTTGACTAAATTTAATTTGAATAAATGATACAAATTTAAACGGTTTATCTTGTTATTTGGAATTAAAATAACTTTATAGCATCTGAACAATTTTGAATATTCGGGGAATACCCTAAATGCAATTCCAATATACGGTAAAATAGGACTTCTTAAAATACCATTCATACCTTACCTTTGGTATTTTCACTTCCTCAGCGAACGTCCACACTGTGCGCTAATTTATCGGCAGCGGCTAAAATATATCTCCTTAAAAACCCCAATTAATACGAAATAAAGTAAAAAAAACGGATCTTTATCCGCATGAGACCGTTCAGCGCCGGTGCCAACACATGAGATCTTTGCGGTTGTTCAGTGGTATAGAGCGTACAGCGCCCTAGGGCCACCGAAAATATAACCTCTAAACTCCGGCCCAGTAGGCAGATGCACCTGCTCCACCTTTTACCCTTTCCAAATGCAAGTGAAAATCACCTTTAAGTAGTGCAAATACCCTGCCCAGCCATGTCGACGACGTCGGTGGTGCAGCAGTTCGTCAACGGGCTGAAGTCCCGCAACCGGAATGTTCAGAACAAGGCCACGCAGGATCTGCTTTTCTATGTGAAGACCGAGCTGCGCGAGATGTCCCAGGAGGAGCTGGCGCAGTTCTTCGATGAGTTTGACCACCACATATTCACCATGGTGAATGCGGCGGACATCAACGAGAAGAAGGGCGGCGCCCTGGCTATGAGTGAGTTCCTGTAATGTCGATATAGTACTTCAGGGAGAATTTAATATTTGATCTTTCAGAGTGCCTGATAAACTGCGAGGGCAGTCTGACGGCCAGGAAAGGTATCTCGCCCTACTTGAATCGACTACGAGATCTGCTCCTGATCAACGATGTTTCCGTCATGGAAATTGCCGCTCGCTCTTTGGTTAAGCTGGCCAACATGCCCACCTCCAAGGGAGCGGATTCATTTGACTTCGATATCAAGAAAGCCTTCGAAGTGCTTAGAGGCGAGAGGCAAGAGGTATGATACATTTTAGTTTCGTTTTTTAGTTATTTGTTAAGAATATATTCAAATAATTCTTAAATTATCTTATTTTTAGTATCGCCGGCATGCAGCCGTGTTTATTCTCCGTGAGCTGGCCATCGCCTTGCCTACTTACTTCTATCAACACATCCTAACATTCTTTGAGGTCATCTTTAACGCCATTTTCGACCCAAAATCTGCCATTCGGGAATCCGCGGGAGAGGCTTTGAGGGCGGCTTTAATTGTCACCGCCCAGCGAGAGAGCACAAAACAGTCTAGTGAACCACAATGGTACAGGATCTGCTATGACGAGGCCAGTACTAGCTTCAGTGCGGACCTGGCCTCTGGAAAGGAACAAAAGGGCGTGACCCGAGATGATCGCATTCACGGCGGCCTTATCGTATTCAATGAGCTCTTCCGCAGTGCAAATGCCACTTGGGAGCGACGTTACACATCGCTGAAGACTTTATTTCCAAAGACCCAGCACAACAAATTCCTGGAGGCCAGCACTTCGTCGGGAATGGGGTCCCAGCTAAATACACTTGTGCCTCGGTTAAAGGTGCCCTTCATCGACAAGCTCGGTAGCACACAGACACATTTGGGCGAGGGGGAGCATTACAACGGCGTAGCCAAGTTCGCGAGCGTGAGTCTAACGATCAAATATCCCCACCTTCGAATGTATTTGTTATTTTTATTTATTTATTTGGTTTTGAGGTACTTAACAAGTAGTTATAAAACAACAGTTGCTTTATAGATGAAATCAGCTGACCTAATTTCAGTTAACATTTGTTTATAAATATTTTGCTTAAATAGTTTATTTTACTTTAGATATTTAACAAAACAACTAATGATCCCGACTTCCCTTAGCACAACGTATTGGAGTCGGCTTACGCTCACGAGATCCTTCAGGAGCATTACACCACCATTTGCGACAATGTCTTGGAGCAGCGATCCTCAAAGTCACCTTATGTACAGCAGGCACTGCTGCAAATCCTGCCGCGACTTGCTGCTTTCAACCGCGAAGTATTTGTGGAAAAGTACCTGCAAACCTGCGTGTCGCATTTGATGCTGATCCTGCGGGGCAAGGAGAAGGATCGCACTGTGGCCTATATAACAATTGGTTACATGGCTGTGGCCGTTCAAAGCGCGATAGAGATTCATCTATCCGGGATCATGGCCAGCGTTAAAGGTCGCTCTCCCAGCCAAGGACTTGACTAGCAAACGGAAGGTGCCAGTGGATCCTGCTGTATTCGCTTGCATAACGCTGCTTGCGCATGCTGTTAAGTCGGAAATAGCAGAAGACGTTAAGGATATCCTTGAACAGATGTTCTACACAGGTCTGTCGCCAGCCTTGACCGTTTGCCTGAGAGAACTTTCTGAGAATGTACCCCAACTGAAGTCCGCCATCACAGAAGGATTGATCGGTATCCTATCCCAAGTGCTAATGAACAAGGCAGCTGCTGTTCCATATAATACCCTACCTCCGATCGCCATTGATGCTTCGTTGATGCAGAATGCTGATGGAGCCACCACCGTGCTGGCTCTTAAGACACTGGGCACCTTTAACTTTGAGGAGCAGAACATGCTCGACTTCGTGCAACGGTAAGCAGTTACTTTTTTTATCCTTACAATTTTGTACAAAATTATATTTTTTTACTAGTTGTGCCGACTACTTCATCGTACACGAACAGCAAGAGATACGGCTGGAGGCGGTGCAAACATGCACGCGACTTCTAAAACTGGCAGTGCAATCCTCTGAAAGTATGGAAAACTCCAAGACTCTCAGCGACACTGTATCCCATGTAATTGAACGCTTACTGATGGTTGCCATTACTGACATGGACTGCAATGTGCGGATACGTATCCTTCGCTCGCTGGACGAGACTTTTGATGCAAAACTCGCTCAGCCAGAGTCTCTTAACTCCCTATTTATAACCCTGCACGATGAGATCTTCGAGATCCGGGAACTAGCAATGGTCACAATTGGAAGATTATCCTCCATGAACCCGGCTTATGTAATGCCCAAGTTGAGAACCACCATGATCGAGTTGATCACAGATCTAAAGTACTCGGGAATGAGTAGGAACAAAGAGCAAAGCGCTAAGATGCTAGACCATTTAGTAATAAGCACGCCCAGGCTGATTTCCTCCTACATGAATCCGATTCTAAAAGCATTAGTGCCGAAGTTACATGAACCGGAATCGAATCCTGGCGTAATTCTAAATGTGCTTCGGACCATTGGTGATCTGGCAGAGGTGAATGGAGGCTCTGATGAAATGGAACTGTGGGCAGACGACCTTCTCTCCATATTGCTTGAGATGCTTGGGGATGCTGGCAGTCCAGATAAGCGAGGAGTGGCTCTTTGGACCTTGGGACAATTAATTAGTGCGACGGGCAGAGTTGTAAGCCCATATCACAAGTACCCAGTGCTAATAGACATCCTCATCAACTTTTTAAAAACTGAACAGCGTCGCTCCATTCGAAGGGAAACGATCCGTGTGCTGGGCCTATTGGGAGCAATGGATCCATACAAGCACAAGATGAACAAGGGCTTAATTGACAGCCAAAAGGATAATGTTCTGATAGCATACTCGGATGGCAAAGTCGATGAAAGTCAGGACATCTCTACTGCAGAACTGCTGGTTAATATGGGTAATGCGTTGGATGAATATTATCCAGCAGTGGCCATAGCTGCCTTGATGCGGATCTTGCGTGATCCCACACTGAGCACTAGGCATACCAGCGTGGTGCAAGCGGTGACCTTCATCTTTCAAAGCTTGGGCATTAAATGTGTGCCGTATTTGGCCCAAGTGCTTCCAAATTTGCTGGATAACGTACGGACCGCGGATAACAATCTAAGGGAGTTTTTGTTCCAACAGCTCGCCATTCTAGTGGCTTTTGTAAAACTACATATTATCAGCTACATGGGCGATATTTTCAAGTTGATCAAGGAGTTTTGGACTATTAATACACCCCTGCAAAACACTTTAATCAATCTGATTGAACAGATTGCCGTAGCTTTAGGATGCGAATTCAGGGATTATCTTGCAGAGCTCATCCCACAGATCCTACGAGTGCTACAACACGATAACTCCAAGGATAGAATGGTCACCAGAAGGCTGCTACAAGCTCTGCAAAAATTTGGCAGTACTTTGGGGTATTACCTGCCACTGATTGTTCCTCCCATCGTAAAGCTGTTTGACTCTCCCTACGTGCCGACGCAGGTGTCAATGGTGGCCCTGGAAACGATCAACAACCTGGCATGTCAGTTGGACTTTACAGACTTCTCTTCGCGCATCATCCATCCGCTGGTTCGAGTGCTGGACGCTGAACCGGAGCTGCGTGACCAAGCGATGATCACGCTTCGCTCGCTGGCAAAACAACTTGGCAAGAAATACCTGGTATTCGTACCAATGGTGCAGCGCACCCTCAACAAGCACCGCATTGCGGATCCCGAATACGAGAAACTACTCAGCCGTATTCAGTCCAACAGCACTTTGGCAGATTCTTGTGGAGCGGGAGAGTTAGGACTTCGCTCGGCCAAGATAAAGAACAATGAGCCATTCGTAACGGACAGGAATAGCAATAACAAAAATTTGCAGGTTTGTTAAGACAACTTATTACTTCGAAAAGCTATTATCAAAAGTCAAGTCTGTAAATATTTTATCTATTTATTTGAGGGAGAAAACGTATAGTAATATCAAACTTTTTTTTCCTATAGGTTACCACAAACGAGCTGCGAACGGCGTGGCAGGTGACCCGTCGCGTCTCCAAAGACGACTGGGTGGAGTGGCTGAAACGCTTGTCGATTGGACTTTTAAAGGAATCGCCGTCGCACGCGTTAAGAGCCTGCCGATCCTTGGCTCAGGAATATGATACGCTACTGAGAGATCTGTTTAACGCCGCATTTATCTCCTGTTGGACAGAGCTCTCGCCAGACCTTAAATCTGAGTTAACACAGTCACTTATACAAGCCCTGCAAGTTACCGACATGCCGGAAATCACGCAAACGATTCTCAACCTAGCCGAGTTCATGGAACATTGCGACCGCGATCCAATACCAATTGAGACTAAATTGTTAGGAACTCGCGCAATGGCGTGTAGGGCGTACGCCAAAGCTTTGCGATACAAGGAAGAGGAGTTTCTCTTGCGGAAGGATCCTCAAGTGTTTGAGTCCTTAATTCTGATTAACAACAAGCTTCAACAAAGGGAAGCGGCAGAAGGTCTGCTTACAACCTATCGAAATGCAGCTGATGAGCTTAATGTTCAGGGAAGATGGTACGAAAAGCTCCATAACTGGGATCAGGCGTTGGAGCATTACAAGCGGAATCTACTTACGGATTCCTCGGACTTGGAAGCACGCCTTGGCCACATGCGTTGTCTGGAGGCGCTTGGAGATTGGTCGGAGCTGAGCAATGTGACTAAGCACGAGTGGGAAAATTTCGGTACTGAGGCCAAGTCAAGAGCTGGACCCTTTGGCTGCAGTGGCTGCCTGGGGTCTACAAGATTGGGAGGCGATGCGAGAGTACGTGAGGTGCATTCCGGAAGACACGCAGGATGGAAGCTATTATCGAGCCGTTTTGGCGGTGTATCATGATGACTTTGAGACAGCTCAGCGTCTTATTGACGAAACGAGGGATCTTCTGGACACTGAGCTCACCTCCATGGCGGGAGAGTCTTATGAAAGAGCCTACGGAGCCATGGTTTGTGTTCAAATGCTGGCGGAGCTGGAAGAGGTAATCCAATACAAGCTGATTCCGGAGAGAAGAGAGCCCTTAAAAACTATGTGGTGGAAGCGTCTTCAAGGTGGACAACGCCTGGTGGAAGACTGGCGAAGGATCATTCAGGTGCACTCGTTGGTGGTAAAACCCCACGACGACATACACACCTGGCTGAAGTATGCAAGCTTGTGTAGAAAAAGCGGTTCTCTGCATTTGTCCCATAAAACTCTTGTTATGCTACTGGGCACCGATCCCAAGCTAAATCCACTCCAGCCGCTTCCGTGCAATCAACCCCAAGTGACCTATGCCTACACCAAATACATGGCAGCCAATAATCAACTGCAAGAAGCTTACGACCAATTGAGGCACTTTGTGAACACCTACAGTCAGGAGCTTAGTTGTCTGCCCCCGGAGGCATTGAAGCAACAGGATCAACGACTGATGGCGCGCTGCTACCTACGCCTGGCCACATGGCAAAACAAGCTGCAGGATAAAATATCGGAAGCAATTCCAGGCGCCCTCGAGTGCTTTGAGAAGGCCACCAGCTACGACCCTAACTGGTACAAGGCTTGGCATCTGTGGGCGTACATGAACTTTAAGGTAGTGCAATCACAAAAATCAGCACTAGACAAACAACAACCTCAGGGTGGCAACATGGGAATGTCAATGAGCTCAGGGCTTGACAGTGATCTGCTGATAATCCAACAATATGCGGTTCCAGCAGTTCAGGGCTTCTTCCGTTCAATCAGCCTTATCAAGGGTAACTCACTGCAGGATACACTTCGTCTATTGACCCTTTGGTTTGACTATGGCAACCATGCAGAGGTGTACGAGGCTCTGCTTTCTGGAATGAAGTTGATAGAGATCAACACTTGGTTGCAGGTAATCCCACAGCTAATTGCCCGCATAGACACCCATCGCCAACTGGTGGGACAACTGATCCATCAGCTTCTTATGGACATAGGAAAGAATCACCCGCAAGCACTAGTCTATCCTTTAACAGTGGCTTCCAAGTCAGCGTCGTTGGCACGCAGGAATGCTGCTTTCAAAATCCTGGACTCAATGAGAAAACACTCGCCCACATTGGTGGAACAGGCAGTTATGTGCAGTGAAGAGCTCATCCGAGTGGCGATCCTCTGGCACGAACAGTGGCACGAGGGTTTGGAGGAGGCCTCTCGGCTTTACTTCGGAGATCGTAATGTGAAAGGCATGTTTGAAATATTGGAGCCATTACATGCTATGTTAGAGAGAGGCCCGCAAACGCTAAAGGAGACGTCCTTCTCGCAGGCCTATGGACGCGAGCTTACAGAGGCTTATGAATGGTCTCAGCGTTACAAAACATCAGCTGTGGTTATGGATCTGGATCGAGCCTGGGACATTTACTATCACGTTTTCCAAAAGATCTCTCGTCAGCTTCCACAACTTACATCATTGGAGCTACCGTACGTGTCGCCCAAACTTATGACCTGCAAGGACCTCGAACTGGCTGTTCCCGGTTCCTACAATCCAGGCCAGGAACTGATCCGGATTAGTATCATTAAAACAAACCTGCAGGTAAGACTTTCAATGTTTTTTTTCGTTATTGACTTGTGTGCATAAAATTTGTAGTTATTTTTCTAAAAAATTGAATAATAGCCATTAATTTGAGTTTCTGAATTTACATTTTTAGGTCATTACATCCAAGCAGCGGCCGCGAAAACTGTGCATTCGTGGATCAAACGGCAAGGACTACATGTACCTGCTCAAAGGCCACGAGGATCTCCGTCAGGATGAGCGTGTGATGCAGCTATTCTCGCTGGTAAACACGCTTCTACTAGACGACCCAGACACGTTCCGTCGGAATTTGGCTATCCAGCGTTATGCGGTAATTCCGCTGAGTACCAACTCGGGTTTAATTGGATGGGTGCCTCACTGCGACACACTACATACGCTTATCCGCGACTATCGTGACAAGAAGAAGGTGCCACTTAACCAGGAGCATCGCACAATGCTAAATTTCGCACCAGACTACGATCATCTCACGCTGATGCAAAAAGTTGAGGTGTTCGAGCATGCGTTGGGTCAAACTCAAGGCGACGACCTAGCCAAGCTGCTGTGGCTCAAGTCCCCATCCTCGGAACTGTGGTTTGAACGGAGAAATAACTACACCCGATCGCTAGCGGTCATGTCTATGGTGGGTTACATTCTGGGTCTTGGTGATCGTCATCCATCGAACCTTATGCTCGACCGAATGAGCGGCAAGATACTGCACATCGACTTTGGCGACTGCTTTGAGGTAGCCATGACGCGCGAAAAGTTTCCGGAGAAGATTCCCTTCCGTCTCACACGGATGCTAATCAAAGCGATGGAAGTCACTGGCATCGAGGGCACTTACAGAAGGACATGTGAAAGCGTGATGCTTGTGCTACGCCGGAACAAAGACTCCCTAATGGCCGTGTTAGAGGCCTTCGTTTACGATCCCCTGCTTAACTGGCGCCTCTTGGATGTAGACAAGAAGGGTAACGATGCGGTGGCTGGAGCGGAAGTTCCGAGCGGAAGAGGGGGTTCAGGGATGCAGGACAGCCTTAGTAACTCCGTGGAGGACTCCCTGCCCATGGCTAAGTCCAAACCCTACGATCCAACGTTGCAGCAAGGTGGCCTGCACAACAATGTAGCCGACGAAACGAACAGCAAGGCCAGTCAGGTGATTAAGAGGGTCAAGTGCAAGCTTACCGGCACCGACTTCCAGACGCAACAGAGCGTCAACGAGCAGCATCAAGTGGAGCTGCTCATTCAGCAGGCAACCAACAACGAGAACCTCTGCCAGTGTTACATTGGCTGGTGTCCGTTCTGGTAGGTCAACAGATCTGGTAGAGATCCCAATCGACAACCGGCAACTGACTGAGCGAGATTACGAAAACTACTACCACCAACTGAATTGTGGGCAACCATCTCCGAGGAAGATTCGGAGGTGATTGTAAATTAGGCTTTAAGTATAAAATATTTTTATAATTTATGTTAGAAATACGCTTTATCTTTTATTTGTAAATCCGATTGGAAACGTATTCCAATTTTGTAAAAATCATAAAACCTATGAAACAATTAATACCTGTTATTTTATATAATTCGTTTTTTCCTAAGTTTTAAAACATTCATATAATGGTCTTGTTGTTGCATATTAATGCAATATTTATAAGGATCTTAGGTCGACCAGATGAAGATATCTCATTAGGCACTTAGACGTGCTTTGCAGCGCACCCTTCACCCTTAAAATTCTCTTTAAGTCAATTAAACTATTTGTTTTATTCATTATTTTTATTTGGGAATCAAATTGCAAATAAATTCAATTTTTTTTAATCACCAAAGACCCACACAACGTTTAGGGTAAACGAACAATTTAATATTTTGTCGTTTTTTAGCGACCAAAAGGAAAACAAACGAAACATTTGCAAAATTTTCAATATTTTTCAAACATCTAAATTAACCGAACTCCTAGCGGGAGCGGTGTTTACTGATTACTGATACTTGCAGACCACCCAAAAAGCGGGAGCCACAAATAAACTAAATCCTGCACAAAGATTATATTATATGTATATGTAGAAGATAGGTAGACACTAAAACTGCACATTAAACTAGACCTAGGCGTAGCAGTAGAGGTTGGAGGGGCGTGGCGTGGCTGGGTTGGGACGGGCCTTAGCTGTTGTTCCGTTTGCCGCGCTGCTCCTTGCGCCAGGCGTCGATGCGCTGCTTCAGTTCTATGTTCGGCACCAGCATGTCTTCAGTGAGGGGCTGTCGGTTAAATGGGTCGGTGCAGCTGTTGAGCAGATGCCGGGTAATGATTGCACGGTCCATTACTGTGCCGGAAGGAAGCACCACTGGGTCCGACATGAGAGTGTCCATCAATGGATCCTTGAACTCATCGGGCGCGTCGGCGCATTCATCTTCAGTCTGTTGGTTGGCAACTGCAATGGAAATATTATAAATACAATGCGTTTTAAAAAATTTGTCATCTTACCATAGATTTCGTGGGCTCGCTGTGTGAGCGCTTTGAAACGCTCTACCTCAACCGCCGATCGGAGGGCAAGGCGTTTGATCCTCGATGCTGCCTCATTGCAGATTTGCACGTCGAAGGAGCGTTCGTCGGCAGCCAAGGCCTCAGCGAATCTATCACAGTCCAGGTGGAGATATATATCGAAGATCTGTGCCAGCAGAGTGCGTGGCTCCCAGCCGTACTTGGTAGGATTCTTGACTTTCAAGTCGTTGCACTTGGGCCCGGCTAGCTGTTTCAGATTGAAATTAAGCATGGAGCTGAGCCGATCCACGAGCTCGGCGCGCATAAATGGCTCCTTAATGTCGCTCTGAAAGAGATTAAATAATTATGTTTTTGAAATTAAGAGTTGTTCTCCTCTTCTCTTCACTCACTGTCAGATAATGAAACAGATCGACTGTCTCGCGAGCCAGTGTTAAGTAGGAGCGACACTGACGCTCGTCCGTGGCCAACTGGGTAAGTCGGCTCTGTTGCTGCTCCGCGTTCATCTTGCTTAGGTTCGCCTTATCCGATAGCAACTGCTGGGTCAGATGAATGCGCTTAAGGTTTTCCAAGCACTCGTCCAGCAAAAAAGTGGTATCATTCATTAGCATATTAACAAACTTGACGAACTGATTTCCCACCCGGGATTCACAAATCACGGCCTGCCTATGAATAGGATTTTCCCACATGGATTTGAACAGATGGCTAATATGGTATCTGAATTGGGATAATATTAGATACATTTTTTGTTTAATAATCAATGAATTTTAAGAATTTTGTATTTAGTAATTTTCAAAGTATATAAAGGGATTATACATATGTACACCGAAACTTAGGGTCGTAAAATATGTTAACGGCACACGAGTTTATGTTATATGGGTTTATTAACATACTTACCTTATGGTAAACTTATCGTAAAACTCAGTGCTTTGGCCGGTTGTCTCTACATCCACATAGAACCTCATCAAGGCGCTGACGAGGGCGTTCTGAGCCAGCTCGTGATTCCACATCTGTTAAAACAACATGAACTTAGATTTAGTAAAATCATTAACCGATTAAAACCAAAACATACCGCTGTGTTGACCGAGTTGGCTGGCTTTAAGGAGAACACAAACATCACCTCGACCAGCTTGGCAGTCACGTATGGATTTTTGATGAGGTGCGAGGCGCAAACGCAGGTCAGCAGCCAGGTGATGATTGAGTGGTCGATGCCCTGACGAATGTCGACGTTGGCGTGCTGCATGGTAAACAAAATGAACTCGGCAATGTCGTCAATGTACCACTCGGGCAGTGCGGAAAAGTCATCCGTTGGCATCAGCAGCGGCACGGGCTTCTTTGAGATAAAAGGCCCTTCGATCGGGCGTCCCTCGAACTGGTACAGCATAAATTCACAGACAGTCGAGTAGAATTCAGTGCACCGCTGCAGTAAGGCAGGATCCAAGAGTGTGATCTCACTGCATGTTTTCGAGCTGTAATTCAAAAATGTTTTAGGATTTGATACACAGTCACTTTTTTTAAATAGGAATGATAAAAATAAATTCTTTGTCCGCCCAATTAAACAAACAATGACTAGACAACACATGGAAGTGACTCATTATTAAAATTGATACGCGTCATCGATAAGAATATGAAAAAGTATTTCAAGCTCCTTAATAATAAGACCCTAAAATAAATTAAGATACTATCGTAATATTTACCGATTTAACTTGCGCAGCTGCTTCTCCCAGCGTTCTTTAAACTGATTATTGCGGTTGGCGTAGCGAGAGTTAACCCAATGGGGCTTGGTACGGTCTAGCTCGTCGATGAGCTTCTGCAGCTCTTTGATGGCGCGCACCTTTTGACGGTAACGCTGAATGGCGGGCAGATAGCCTAAATGATGAGCCTGTAGGGTGAGGAACCAGCACTGCGTCTGGAAGTTGACATTCTCCACGGGCTCGCTGAAATTACGGGCCAGGAAGGTGCGGTACTCCTCCTCGTTGTACCGAATCTTCGTGTCCTGTTCGATGTTGATGAGTGAGTTCTTATAGTAGTGGAAATTTGGTTCAATCCGGTCCAGCTTGATCTTCACCGAAAGCTGCTGCAGAACGCTCATAAGGTTAATTACAAATCCATCTCTAGCAAGAAGCTTTTCATCGCTGGCAAACTGCACGCGCCGGTCGTTGTGTCGAAGAATTTTGGCAATGTACTCTAATGTCTTGGGGCGACTGCTGGCATTTACACACAGCGAGTGGAACACAACGTACATGTGGGTTCGCATGGAGTGGAGCTCCTGGATAGTAAGAAGAACAATGAGAATGGTTATTTAAAAACAATAGGTGTAAAAAATACGTTTTTACTTTGGCAAAGAAACTCACCCATCGCAACCGGGAGCTAGCAGCATCTTCGAGCTTGTTCTTGGTGCTAAATTCTGCAAACTTTACATTCTCTTCGGCGAACAGGGAAACGGAGAGGAAGGGTCCAAGAAAACTGCATTTTACTATTTCACGTCCAGAGATCTTTGTACAGATGGGCGGCAGGAAATTTGGCTGCTTTGACACGAGATCTGCGATGGGTCGCACATTACCCACTTTGATGACCACTAGTTTGGCCAGCCACTCAATTTGTTGCACACTGATCTTCGACGTGCAGATGTTGCGCTGCATTCCAGCGAAGAGACCACGAAGTACTTGACTGAAAATGGTGTCAAACGCTTCGGGATCCTGGTGCGTGTGGGCTATCAAGTCAATGAGGAAGGACTCGCTCACCTTTTCTGTGTACATGAGCTCCAGCAGTGTCGACTGATCCATGTGGCTATTGAGATTCTGATGGATGCGATCGGTAAGCACCAGAACAGTCATCCTCATCACCTGTTCGAAGGCCAGTTGCAGAGCAGGCTGTGTAAGGGATGTCTTTCGGGCACACTCCGTCTGATAGTTCTGGTAACAACGGATTAGATAGAGAAGCACGTGGTGTTTGGTAGTGGTTCCGATGCTAAGCACCGGTGGTGCCACACAGGCGCCTCCTGCCTCACTACTTGTCGTTTCCATTGGTCCAGGTGCAGCGACAGTCGCCGTTTCTTCAGTGGCTGGCGTTCCACCGGTAGCTACTGCATTGGCGAGAATCTCCTGCACCTCAGTATCATCTGATTTAATTTTCTTAGCGGAAGAAAATTCCTTATCTTCAGTCAGAGTAGTACCGCCTTCTCCTTCGTTAAGCTCATCGTTGAAAATCTTCAAAGCTGCCTCCATTAGCACACTGGACACAATGCATTTAAAATCAAATCGGCGGTTGGGCTGCTGCTCCAGAAAACTGGCACTATGGGCACAGATTATGGAACCGCTACCGTACTCATTCCACGTGGCATTAAGCAGGCGGGAGAGCAGTTGCTCGTTCTGCTCATCCGCACTTTTGGTTGGGCTTCCCACAGTCTCAACGGGCACTTCATGATTCCCACCGAAGAGCTTGCAGGTTTGCAGCCCACTTCGCTTAGTGCCCTCGGTGACTGGCAGGCTGAGGCTTGGAGTCATTTCAACATCTTGCACTGGAGTCGAGGCTACGGACTTCATTTCCACATCCATGTCCGGTTTGCCGCTTAGCTCCGACCAAGCGGGTGCTGGTGTGGGCGTGGGGAGGGTAACCTCTTTGTCGCTAGGCGTGGCATCGCGGACCAGACGAGACTCGCCAGACACATTTGTCTGCTTTCGTGGCGCCTTCTCAGGACTGGGAGTCAAGGGCGCTAAAGCGCTTTGAATGCCACTTCGAGCGGCCAAAGTTCGAAGACGGCGGGCGCGCATCTGTAATATTTTAAATGGTTAATTTATCACCAATCATCACTAATTCACCTAACTTAGTTTTGGTACCATTACTTTTAAGAATCATTGTTTTTTATAAAAAATTTCTAATTAATAAAAATTCGATTTAACTTTTGCAGAAATACTTGCCTCCTCGGCAGATAATTCAGCAACCACGACTAACTCGGCCGGCTGTTGTGGTTGATCTTCGAGTTGCTGTTGCTGCTGACTTGGCAACTCGCCTTGCGCAAGCGGAGACTGCTGATCCTGATCCTGACCCTGCTCCTGATCATCATCCTCCTCCTCCTCCATGGGCTTCTGTGGCGGTTCTTCTTCCGGCATTTCTCGAATCCGTTGCTAAACAATGCGTAGTTACTACCAAATGACTTTTCCTCTCTCTGTTTTTGTTTGTTTGTGGCGTAGTTTTTCCGCCGCTTCTTCTCCTGCAAGACGAGAGGCGATGATGTGGGTTAATGAACCAAACAAAAGCACGCGCAGTCGACATAAAATAACGAAAAGAAACAAAGTCCAGCGGTCAACGTCAAGTTCAAGAGGAGACAATGCCGCCTTCACAAGAACCAGATGGATTGCTTTGCTGGGTGATTTCTCTTTGTGGGGAAATTACGCACTAAACTGCAGCATATCTAGGGGCCAGGACAACTGACCTGCCACAAAATCAACATTCAAATCAAACTCAGACGCAGATTGCCCGAGGTTGACAAAAAATGCACGGCTGCAACTATTTATAGAAGGGGATTTCGAGCAGGGCGGCGTACTGCACCTAAGCAAGTGCAGTAAACAATATCATAACATATGCGAATCGGATGGGGAAACCTTATATAATGGCAGGAAAAGCCGATCGAATCGAATGGGAATATATAGTCAATATACCTAATAACCCGAAAAGTAATCTGCGCATTTGAGGAAGCAAGTAAAGTACACAAAATCGAGATATATAATCGGGGCAATAAGGGTGAGATAGATAATCGGGGGTTGCGGGACCGCATAGGTGGACTTACCTGACTCTCTGGTCTCCGACTTTCACCTGCTACTTATCAAATTGCTTATGCTCCGGCTCTATGCTATTGCATTTTACTGACACCGGAATTTTGTTCTGGTTTAGCAATTCCCGAACAAACCACGACTGGTGACCACGCAAAAAATTTCTCTTTTGTTCCGATTTGAGGATTGGTTATCGGGCCTGTATTGGCTGTATATTTTTGGAAACACCTGATTGCTGCCAGCTATTAAGTGAATCACTAAGATACACACTGCTTTTAAAAAATGTGACAGACTTCCACACCGATGTCTACTGAAATTATTTTAATTTTTTGGTTTTTGCGTCCGTCGTTTCAGTTCAGTTTCAGTTTGGCCTTGTGCCCGTCGGTCACACTAACCGCTTGTGTGGATTCAATATGGTCGCACTTAGGGATGGACCGATTGGCGGTAGTTGCTTTTAACCCTTGATAGGCCGTCGTACTTTATTGTTTTCTTAATAAACGTTTTTTTTAAACCGTTCAAAAACAATGTATGTTTTAATCTTATCTTAATATTGACATAAAGAATTCATTTGATAAAAAATACACTCTAAACTATGTTATTTATAACTTGAAAAAAATGCTATCTTACTGTTATGTACATACATACAAATGTATGCACCCCAAGTATGTTTTTGAAATGCGTATTAACAAATTTACTTAGAAGGCATATTCCCATTTTTTTAAAATCAAAATTAAAGTTTTTAAAACTGTTTAGTCAAAAACGATTTACGATGCATTACATTTTGAAAAGAAAGCTTAAAATTCGTCCGCTACTAACACAATAAATTGAAATTGTGAGTTTGTTATTTTTGTTCAACAAAAGAAAATCATTTACTTCATTTTACAAAAATGTTACAATTATGTGGAACCTAATTATGAACCTAATACCTAAGTAGCCGCTACTAGAAATCCGTGTATCGCTGTCGCAGAGTCTGCCGTTTAGCAACGTGGTGCATCTGCAAAATATAGAATTAAATTAAAAACCTGACTTTAGAAACGATTAAATTCTAGGGACTAACCAAACGCTGCTGACGTCGCTCTCGATTCTTTTCGTAAGCCCTGAGCAGCGAGGGACACGTGCGTTTAATAAACTCCTCCGATTCCCAAAAAAGCCCGCCCTGGTTCTCGTATCGTAAAAGGAATTCAACCTGAAAAGATTTTGGTTATTAAATTGATTTTTAAGGGGATAAAGCACTTGAGACTCTATCAACTTGTTTTTAAAAGTAAAAGAAAGCGTAAAATTCGAATATAAGCTCAGTATACTGAACTGATAGTTTCTTTTCAAGCTACTATGACAACTTGCCTTGCCCGCCTTGGTCTCCTTGCCCAGAATGCGTTCAATACCGTTTTCCGGCTTGATCCGCCTGAAAAAGTCCTCATCGTTGTACTCGGTGACTACCTCCTCGCCGACTTCGTTCAGCATGTCTTCGATGCTGAGCAGTCCGTCCTGCAGACGCTCGCCGTTCTGTTCGACGCGCTGCACAAACGTCAACGGATGCTGCTTGAGGTAGTCCTCCGCCTCGGCGATCGTCTTGGCTAGGTCAAACTCTTCCTCCGGCTCCTCCTCCTCGTCATTGTCCTCGTATTCCTCTTCTTCGTGCTCGCCGTCCAGTTCCATGCCATCACAGTTGGCCCCGCTGGGCGATGATGTCCGCTTCGTCTGCGTGGAACGTCGCTTCTTCTTGACCCAGTTCCCGCCGTCGTTCTCTTTGACGTCTGGATGGAAGCGTACCTTCTTCACGCGAACGGACGGCGAGGCGCAGTCTGTGGTGGAATTGTTTGGGAGTCTGCGATTCCAGCAGGCTGCTATTGCTGGAGGCAGAAGTGGATGCAGATACAGATGTGCCGGAACTCTCGGCTAGTGTGGTTTCCTTGAGGTTCTGTGAGATTAATTTAACTTTCGTCTCGAAGGCAGTGCAGGAGGATGTGGGCGAGTTGCTGGCTGGATGGTCTGGTGGGGATTGGCTGCTCTGCGGACTGTCGCCCTCGCCCCGCGTCCCTACCGCAGCTTCAGTCTTGTGATCCGCCAGCTCCGCAGTTCCCTCCTCTGTTCTCAATATCGATCCCTTCCCCAGTGAATCCGCAGCGGAGTCCCTGCTGCAGTTGTCCACATCCCCGGAGGATGAGTCTCCCTCTCCCGTCGTCGTCGTCTCCACCATCACACACTTGATTTGCATAGATTTGTCCAGCGAGTCACTGCCAGCCGAGTCATCGTTGGACTTCGTATCCATGTAGCTGCGACTCCAGGGGATCTGCTGTTGCTTTCTATCGTTTCGGATGGCTGCTACAGTTCAATTTTGGCTAAATGCATCGCAATTCAATTGTAATCTTTCATCAAAACTTTGTTGCTTTGCTTCAGTATTACCAGATGGCGAAATGGCTTTCAAACCAAATGTAATCGACCAACCCAGATTTCTCACTAAAAAATACAAACAATTTTTCCAGCTCTAGGGTATGACCGTTTTTATGTTATTCAAATGAACTGTTACAGTAAAATACCCGTAAAATTATTGCTAAATTTGAATTTTTGTTTAAAAATCATATTTTTTATATTTGGATAATTTGTATTCCTTAATTTGATAATTGTATTTAAAAATTTTGGATATTATTTATAATAAGAAAAACAGCTAGCCTACATCTGAGTAAGAATCTGGAATTATTTTCTGTTATTATTATTTTTTTATAACAACATTTTGGGCTCATTTTGCCCCTTACGATCACTATGGTTTTAAAACTAAAAAACTTACTAATCATACAAACGAAAAACGATCCATTTTAAATGCAACTTGTGTATTTTTATTTGATTTCTTTATTAACAATTGTTTTTTGTACATTTTTCTTTGTTGTAATTTAATGCCGTAAATCTTCGAGTGTGTTGTTGTGTGTGTGTGTGTGTTGTGTGTTGTTGTGTGCGTAGTAAACAAATCTAAGTTATTTACACTAGTTTTAAGTTTAAATATAGTTCAATGTTAAGGACTATTTAATATAATATATTGTGTGTATAGAAATCGGTATCGATATAAGATGTATATATGCTTATCAAAGGCGGTTGCAGTTATATCCACGAAGGTTTCTGTATACATATCGCTAGTTAGCGTTATATTCTGGTTTTGATTTGCTTTGTTTAAATGTTTCCTTGCTTTAAACTATTTAAATATGGCCCCGCTATTCCACATGTGTTCTTTTCGTTTTCTTAGAGTTAATGATAACATTTTTTTTTGTAGTGTTTACGATTACACTGTGCTACAAAGACGCTGTTTGCTGGAAAACAATCGTATTAATGATAAGAAAATAACTATTCTGTAGTAGAAACTAAAAACTATTAACTAATTTTAACCGTATGCTGCAGTTGTACAAAATAATATTGCAAATATTGCAAAAATTTCCCTATTCTCTGTTGATTTTGAATTGCATTTAAATTGTGTTTTTGTTTTTGCAGCAGCAGCTGTGTGTAAATATATATATATATATATATTTTATGTTTAGATTTATATAGTATGTATATAGTACCATATTCATTGCATGATATACGCGCTCATTTTCTTTTTGTTTTGTATTTTTGCATTTACAATTATCAATAATCACAGTTCCCATTCAAAAAATTAAACCAATTAATTTTAGCAAGACTTAATTTTGAATTTATCTCTTTTTCTCCTATACAAAGTTGATTTCTTTGAAACGCTTTTGGATCTTGCTCTGGTTGGGCTAGGTTTTCTTGTTACAATTTACATATTTAGCCAATGGTAAATATAGGTCCTACATTTAAATTTATTTTTATAGTTGTCTGTCTGATAATTTACAATACCATTAATTTAAATTACATTTTGCACCTTTCTATCAAGTAATTACAGTAAGAATTCCGGATTCTCCCATGTATAAAGTATTCGATTTTTTTTCTTTTTTATAAATTATAGATGTGTATGACTAACTTAGGGCTTAATCAAGTTTTAAGTGCAGGAACATGTTCCAACTAGGTGTGTATGTATGTGGGTGTTAGTGACAATATAAATCCTTAAGAGGTGCCTAAAACGAATCCCAAACTCCACTAACTCATACCCCAAAAAAAAGAAAACATAAGCAACAATAAAGTATTAACAAAACCAAAACTCACTTAGGGCTAAAAATGTATAATTAACTTAGGTAAAAAGTGATTAATTTTAATAAAAGATTTGACCTTTGGCGGTCTACTTTCTGGAAATGACTTTGCCCGTCTTGGCATTGACCAGTATCATTTTGTCCGGTGTAGTGGGTCGTTCCTGGACGTGGTTGTCCTCCGTCTGGTTTGCACTTCCGCGGAGAGTCCTTCGGCGCAGGCGATCGCTTATATTTTCGCTCTTCTGCGACTCCAAAGTGGCTTCTTCGTGGGAAGGCTTCACACTCAAACCGCTCTCGTTCTTGTACAGAATCAACTTGGTGCTGGGATTCTTGGCTGGCGGTTCTTCCATCCCTTCATCAGCAGCCTCATCTTCTTGGGTTCTCTCCCCCTGCTGCATATTGGCATTCATCACATTGTCCTGGTTGTTATTGTGCTCGGTTTGCTGGATCTTGGACTCATCGGTTTCCTCCGGATCACGCTCTACACTGATCTCAAGCTGATCATAGCAGGTAAAAAACTCCACGGATTTGAGTTTCTCACTAGCATTAAAATGTAATGTCGTGTGCTCCTCGATTTCTGATTCATCGTTGCCATTGTAGTCACAGTGGGCACATTGCTGAGAACTCGGGGGTGGTGGATTGACGCAGGCATGTTTCTGGAGATGCTGCAGCAGCTCATCATGCTGCTGTGTCTCAAACGGACAGTGAAGACACCGTTCGGGTGCTGGAATAGACTGGGGCATGTCTACGGATCCTGCATCACTACTGGCATCCGCTGCCAAGTCACTGGTGGCCACCGAGGCGCTGGTCGACGGTGTGGAGCTGCTATGTCGCTCTTCATCTTCCTCCGGGGCCTCACCTTCGTTCTTAGTCACAGTAGTTTCCCTCGGAATGGTGACTACCTGGCCATTGCCCGATTCCAGCTGCTTCTTGAGCAGAGAGTTCTGGTTATCAAAGCTCCCGGTGGAGGAGCTTACACCTCCGCCGGTGGTCTGTTGTAGGAGTTGCAAACTCAACTCATTATCTACCACCCAGATGGTTTCCGGGCCAGTCAACTGCAGTAACTTGGGCGCTGGGTACGCGGAGTCCTCCTTGCAGTTTTTATAGAGCTGCTGGCACTTCTCCTGGTAGTGGGACATGTGCACGGCCCGGTGTAGTTGAAGCATGGTCTCCTCGGCTGTGCGATACTCGCAGTAGGCACACACATAGCCCTGATCCTGATCCTCCAGTTCATGGTCGGTATGGGCCAGCAAATGTTTCTCCAGCTCTTGCTTGGCATTGCGTTCATCATTGTGCTTCTGGGCAAAGCGAGCCGGACACCTCGGACAGTAGCTAATCAGTTTGTATTGGTATTCCGGTGGCAATTGCTGTGGGTTTAGTTCGGCATCCGAAGCGGCATCCAGCTGAACCTGAGACAGATCTATCGAAAGCGGTGTGGAGGCGGGCAGTTGTTGTACCTGCTTGGCAGCAGCGGCCAACTGCAAGGCCATACTGTAGTCCAGACCTCCTCCGGCTGGTGGGCCTGATACACTCATCTGCTGTTGGTGGACACTTCGCATATGGCTGCTTAAGTGCTGCTTCTTGGCGCAGACAAAGGTGCACAGTCGGCATTCATATTGAGTGGGTTTGTGCAGCGACACGTGGTAGTTCATCTGGGATTTGCTCTCTGAGATGTAGGGACACACCGGACACTTTTGCTGCTTGCTCTTGGTATTATTGCCTACGGAAATGGAGTGATCCACCGATGAGGGTAGGCGGGTGATCTCGATCTGGTCGTTTTGCTGCAACTGCTGCAACTCCTCGGCACTGCTGCAGGCCTTCATCGCATTGCAGGCTGCAGCCCAAACGGCAGCAGCCGCCTGTATATCCTGCTGGGTGTTGGCCGCATTCACCACCGCAGCGGCGCTGGCGGAGAGCGGCGAGTGGAGGAGCTGCTCTAGTTGTTTGGTGGTCATCAGCAGCTGGGCACTGTTGTTGTTGCTAGCATTCGTGTTGCTGCTGTGTTTCAGGATGTTGCTGGTTGGATTCGACAGGATGTGGGACTGGGATTCGTTGCTGGCACCTGCTCCCATGGGTCGGTAGATGGGTGGTGCATTTGCCGAGACACTGGCTCCTCGCTCAAGGGTCTCGATCCGAATATCCCCGGAATGCTTTAAGCGACAATGCCGCTGTTTGAGAAAAATCAGAAGAAATAATCAATAATTAGTACAACTTTGAATGGGTTGATGGCATTTATCAAGTGTCCTTGTTTTCATGTATATATATGTGTGTGTTTGTGAGTGTGTATAGTATGTATTGTGTGTTCCCTTTACAGGGAGTATAACCATGAGTTTAGCCCAATCGAAAACCCTCGCACCGTAATGGGAATCCCTTAAAGGTTAGCTTTGTTTTTATATTTTTTATGGTGTCATGGGTTTGTTTTTTTTTCATGATTTTGGATTTATGGATTTCATTTAGTTCGAGAGGTAAATAGAGAGCAAGCAATACTTTCACCAATGATTTTCTTATAGTTAATCGTTTATCATATAGAGTACAACAAAAGCAAGACCAGACACCACACATTTAAACAGTCAAAATGGGGATTATAAAAAAAGGGGGCTTACGAAATAGACTTTCAATATTTACCAGCGCAGCGCAGGGACTACGGACACAGATGGAGTGGTGAGATGGGTGGCGGAAGGTGTCGGATTGGGGACTGCAAGTTGTCTAAATTGAGTGCTAAACTATCCAAGAATAATGGGTATATTTCTAATATACCCAACTGATGTTTAAAGTTTAAGCAAAGAAATTTATCTTTCACTAGGCTTATATACCAACATATATTTTCCCAAAACCTAATATTTAATACTTTTCATGTAATTAAAAATCGGATATTCTGTAAATATGGTTATTTGTGGCGTTATAAATTTGAAATTCTAACCAGAAATAATTTCTTTACTCTTTCATTTTTTTAGTCTTAATCTTTTTCTGATCTTATATGTCTGAATTAAACTATTTAAGGGAAATAATTAAAGGAAAGGTGTTCCCACAGTAATCCATTTCATTTTCTTTAAATAAAATATATCCCCATTTATAAAGACTTGTCTCAAGACCCCCACGAAGGTACAGGTTTCCTGGAAGAGTTCGGGTCAAGATAAAACGAAACTTTTGGGGATTGGCGGCTTGTTTCGGTTTTTCAATGGGACAAAACACAAAACCATTAAAGTGCACTGGGCCATACCTGGATGACATGCTTCCAATTCGAGACCTGGTGGCAGTGGCCGCAGCGATACGGCGACGGATCGCGTCGATCGCCATCGGCCGTGGTCAGTAGGCTGGGACTACCTGGACTATGGCTATGGAATCTTGTCGGCGGATGGGGCATCGGCAAGGCAGGTGGTGCCTGTTGCTGCTGTGCCATAACAGCCAGGTAGGAAGATGAGGCTGCCGGCGGCGGTGGCGACGATGTGGAGGAGGAAGACGCGGATGCGGACGCAGAGCCGGCGGCTGATGAAGTTGACGCCACCGAAGACGATGACGACGACGACGACGATGACGAGGGAAAGGATTTGGAGTTGGGATTGGCTTTTGTGTTAGTGTTTATGGAGTGGGCATGGGTTAGACCCGACGCCAGGTGGTAACCTTCACCGGCCATGAGTGGAGGATGATCATTGTGGTGGGATGAGGATGAGCTGTGGTTACCCGCACCCAGTTGATGAGCCAGGGACTTTGATATAGCTGGTGGTGTGGCAGTAGAAATAGGAGTAGGAGTGGTAGTTACTGGCAAAGGCGATGCATTGGGCTTGCTGACTGAGTTGGTGGGTAGTGGTTGTGTGGTATTGTTGGTGGTGGTAGATGAGGCGACGTAGACGACATCCTGCCGGAGTCCATTTCCCACAACCGAGTTACTGTTAGCGTTAGAGAGATGATTTCCATTTCTGGCACTGCGCGGTGATGTGAGCAGATCCTGCAGCGATCTGGCGGTGTCTTTGGTGGTGCTAGTGGTGGCTTTGGTGGTTCTACTGGTGGTGGTGGTGTTCGGCGACGTCAGACTGTCGGCACTTGCCTCGTTTTGACTCGCTTTCTGCTCACCGTGCTCTAAAATGGAGGCGGCACTGGCTTTCGTCGTATTGGCTTGTGGCTTTCCGCCCGCCAACGCCAAAGCAAGTCCGCTCAGAGCGCTGGCGTTGGGCGTGGGCGAGTGCTGGGCCTCCTGGATGGCCCGCTGCAGTAGTCCGGCCGAGATAGCCGGACTCGTTCCGGCGGACCCGGAATTAGGCGACGACTGCGACTGGGTCTGCGATAGGCACATGGCGGCGAAGACCTTGTTCATGTAGAATTGCTGATTACCGCCCACGGACACCTGTAGTGGTGAGGTGTTAGAGTTGGCGGAGTTCGACTTCGGATAGTTGGCGTCCTGGTAGTGGATCTTCACGTGCGCCAGCACCGCATCTCGGTTCTGGTGGCTATTGAAGGTATTAAGGTAGAATAAAGTAAATTAGTATACCCAAAGAAAAGCGAAAGAAATCCTTTTCAAAGCTTACCCAAAGTTGCACTTGCGGCATCGGTAGACCGTCCTCTTCTCATTGCCCTCCTGGTGAACCTCGGTGATCAGATCATCGCTGGGCTTGCCTTGCATCACTGATCCCTGATTTGATCGCTTGACCGGCGAAATGGTCACCGAGGGTGTGATCATCGTGGACTGGTGATCCTTCTGTTGCTGCTGCTGCTGGTGTTGCTGCTGGGCCATCGCGGCGTTCATCATTGTGGCCAAAAGGGGAATTCGGATGAGATTGTCCGCTAGATGGGCATCATCCAGGACATTTGGCTTGTTCGGCAACACCGGCTCCAAGGTGATATCTTGGCCGGTTACCGATCCCACCTTAGCGTAGTCCTTGAGGAAGGCTAGCGAGGCCACCTGATTAGGAGTCATCTCTCCCGACTTCATCAGCTTAGGATCGCCATCCTCCTCGGTTACCTTCATAAGGGTGATGTACTTATTATACTTGGTATAGTTCCTGCGACCCGTCTCGTCGTTCATCAGGACCTTTGCCGTCTTGTGGGAGGGATCGCGAATGGTCTTCAAGCGAATATGCTTGGTGATGTCCCAGCGCCAGTTGGAGCGGTATGAGCAGAGGGAGCACTCGAAGGGCTTTTTGTTCAGGTGACCCACGATGTGCACATGGAAGCGGGATGCCGTAGAGGCCCAGAAGCTGCAGTGCGGACACTTGTACACCTTCTTCAGAGACGAGTTGGCTGCCTCCTCTTCGGGCGTCATCTTTTTGGTTACCTGCAGTGCGTGAAAGAGTCAAATTTCATTTTGACGTGGCATTTGCTAGTGCTGGGGTCATGGGGGTTAAACAAAATAATTCCTAACATATACTAAAAACTAAAAACCTAAAAAAATAAATGGATTCCAATCTTTTTAACATTAAATTCAACAAAATCTTTCTAAAATATAAAAATAAAAAACATTTGAACCTTCGACTATGGGATCTGTGCTTAGTGGACTCTGGACTTACCTCGCCGTAACCGGGTGCTGTTTCCACGCCATAGTAGCTGTTTTCCTCATTGCTAGCCGCCTGACTTCCGGCCGGAGACTTGATCAGGCTGTGGCTGTTGTTCTCCTGCTGCATGGATGCGGCTGCGGCGGCAGCGACGATCTCCTTGGTGGCCTTGTTCCAGATGCAAACCCTCTGTTGCTGGACGGCCGCCTGCTGCTGGAGACTTTGCGAATCTGGGCGCCGATCGCCGCTCTCCCCGGAATTCGAGTCGTACATCTCGTTGGCGCAGCGGATCGCCTCAACGCACTGCTTCAGATGGTGCAGCAGATCTGTGGAGGACTTGCAGCGGTGACGGCAGTGCTGGCATCGCGTAGATCCCGTTACACTGAGATTCAGGGCCGAATGGGAGTGATGATCTTCGTCATCCTCGTCAATTTCCAGCCGATCATCGGCATCGTCCTCGTGCAAACCAGCATCTTCGTCGTCGATGATCACTGCCGAAGCGTGACAGGTCTTGCCGTGGATGATCGACTCCGAGAGGCATTTGGCCACATGGCCGCACTGGCACACCAGATTCTCGTGCTGCGCTCCCGTCTTCAGTTTGTCCATAAAGCTGGACTTCTTGGTCATTTGGCTGCGCGAGGAGTTCTGGGATGCCACCGTCGTCGCTGGCGATAATTGTGGCACATCTGACTTGTCCAGCATCTCCGAGATCTGTTTCTCATTGAAGAACATCGATGCGATCTCTGTCAGGCTGCTGCGCGAGGCATTCGTCTCCTTCGACAGGTTCAATACGCTAAGGATGAGAAATGTTATTACATTTAAAATTTTTAATATAATTTAATTTTTTTTTATACTTAGTAATATTATCGTTACTTACTCTTTGGCACCCTTGCTGATGGGGATGAGATTGGGCATAGGTCGCTGGGCCCTTGGTGTGGGAGTGCCAACACTGGATGTGTCCGAGGAGCAGCCGCCCTTCTGGGAGAGATCCGTGGGTTCTTCCTCCTCGTCGTACTTGCTTCTCTTGCCGTAGTGATGCAGGTGCACTGACTGCTCTTCGCCTCCACTCATGGCATCATCAGGGTCCTCGACGACGTCCAGTTCATCGTCCACATTGTTGTTATTATACTTGATCCTCCAGCTCAGCCGAGTCGCTGAGGAAATCATCGCACATCTCACTTGCTCCCACTTTATTTTGGCGCCTCGGCCAAATGGAGCCAGCATTGCCCACCGGCGGCACATGATGATTCATCTCGTGCACCGTCAGCGATTGCTTGATGTCGGCGGTAAAGTCGCAGGCGGCACACTTGAAGGCACCCGCACCGCCATGGTTCTTCATGTGCCTGTCCAGATTCCATTTGTAGGGTGTGCGGAAGTCGCAGGTCACGCACTTGATCATCGGCATGGAGTGGTATTTGACGTGCTTGCTGAAGCGCGCCTTGATGTGGGTCACATAGCTGCACTTGTCGCAGCGGAAGAACTTGGTCTTGCCGTGCTCGGCCAGCTCGTGGGCTCGCAGTTGGGTTCGGTAGAGGGTGGTGAACTCACAGGCGCTGCACTTGAGCAGGCGGTTCTGCGGTTCCTCCCCGTTGGACGGGGGAGTGGCCGAGCCACTGGTGGGCGAGGGAGTGGGCGGTTCGGCCGGTGACTGACGCTCGTAGTCGCGCAGGACCTGCATTTGTCGCTCATACGTAGTGGTGGCCAACTCAAGTTCGCGCTGCTCGCGTTGTTGCTCCTCACGCTGTCGTTGGTTGAAGGCTTGGATATCCCTCTGCAACTTCTCCTCCTGCAAAAGGAGCTCCCGCTTCACCTGCTCTAGGGTGGGCATATCCGGCACCGATACTGTCAGGCTCTGGCCACCCATTACGCCTACACTCTCCTCCAGGCGTCGCTTACGTGCCTCCCTGCTCATGCCCCTTTTGCCCCTGGCCTGCCCATGTCCGCTGGGTATGCCATCTGTGCAGCCATGCACCATCTTCATGTGCCGCACCAGCTTCTGGAAATGCCGCGAGGCATACAGACACAGCTTGCACTTGTTGATCACTATCTTCTCGCCGTGCACATCTCGCAGGTGAGTCAAGTGGTAGCGGGGATTCTGCGTAAAGTACGCACAGTGGTTGCAGCTGTAGTTCCTTTTGATTTTGCACTGTGGCAGGCCCTCCTCCTTGGCATCCATGCCTATGACAGCCTGCTGTTGATGCTGCTGTTGCTGTTGCTGCTGTACGCTGTTCACAACGGCAACGGCTGCTGCCGCTTGTTGCTGCTGTTGCAGCAATTGCTGCAGACGAAAGCGTTCTACATGTCGCTCCAGGAGTGATGAGCCCGCTTGTGTGGCAGCCGTATTACTGCTCGAGTTACTCGAAATGTGTCCCTTATTGCCGGTGGGTTGATGACCACCCTGCTCTGTGTACAACTGATTGCCGCTGACTACGCTGCGCACGATGAGCGTGTCTCCAGAACGCTGCACCATTGATGGTAGGTCCATGTTGCTGACGTTCCAGCTGTTGCTGCTAGTCTAGTGGTCTCCTTTCCTGTCTTGGAAACTCCCTCAAGACTGGCTAGTGGTTAACTGCAAGAAGAGAAAATGTAATTCAGTTAGTTGAGGTTGCAAATAGACTTATTAAAACAACATGACATTTACATTATGATGTTATGTATGTGTGTGAGTTTATTTAATTCAATATGGTGAAATAGTATAAGTCTATATAAACTATTTTTATCAGAGACTACATCACAAAGGTTGTAAGTTTATTGTGGCTTGAATATTAAGACAAGTCTGAAACTATATAAGTTGTTGGCAGTTTCCTCTACTATCTGCATTTCTACACTCAAATTAATCCTTATTCAAATGCATATACTTATAACCACTTCTGTAGGTGACAGCTTTAAAGTTTCTGACCCCAAAAAATGTGCTACCCTCGTAATCCTGGGTATAAAAAAAAAGAGAAATATACGAGGAAATAAATCCCAAATACGATACAAAGGCTGCCTTAAATGCAGATTTCAACACTTGCCCAACTCATTACACATACATTAACACAAGCACACATGAATCGCATTAATGTGTGTGAGTCTCATAAATATTTCAGCGTTTTCCACCGCCAAACCGTCTCTCTTCTCCTTCAACCTTTATCAGCAAAAGTTGTTTCAGTTTTCCCAACTTCCTTGGCAGGATATTAAAATGAAATGTTTTCTGTCCGCCGAAAATGCGACAAAGTAGCGTAAAATCAACAGATAGTCAGGGAAATTGGGCAACGGAAAATGGAAAATCATTCGAGAGCTCTGACAGGAAAACGAACCCTAAGAGCAGACTCAAATCTCGGAGGTAAATGTATTGTAGTTTGTGCGTAACACAAATCCATTTTAGGGCTAATTGGAGTTGGCCAAGTTGAAAAAGGAAGATGGAGGAGGGGTTCTACTAAGGGAGCTGGAAAATTTCAATGCTACCATACACACACACAAATAAACAGTCAGGATCCAATGAAGGTCAACCTTTTTTGTTGGGCCACCGTTTGCATGAGTGCACAGGAGTGCGAGGAAATTCTGGAAAGCTTTCCCCACTTTCCCATTTTTGCGGCTAATCCTTGGGGTGTCGTTTTTATCAAATGCAGTAATTTTGCTTTTTAAGCGTTTTTTATTGCCCACCCACATCATATGTGTGTGTGTGTGTGTGGTGTGGGTAAGTCCCCCGCACAGAAACCGCAATTCTGTTTTGGCTTAGAGAGGACGAGGAAAAAGAACAATTTGATGGAGCATCCCTCTGGTGTCATCATTTAAGTAACATATTTAATTATAAAAAGAGATGGCGCAAAATATACATTAAAATACGCATATATATCCGGCACACACACGCATTAGGCTGTGTACTCTTGACATTCAACACGTTTATTGTCGCAGAGCAACAAGCTCATCGTCCTACCAACAGCCCATCCAACACCCCCGCACCCTTCATCCCACACCCAACATCCTACATCCTCATCAGCGTCAAGGCGGAACTCATTAACAGAAAGAGTGAGAGGCGTCCAAGTGTGTGTGTGCGTATGTGAAAGTGCGTTTTGTGTGGGTGGATGGGTTGATTCAGGGTTGGCAGGACAACATATGAAGCAGTCACTGTTAACGATCACTGGCTTGGACACACTCAATGTTAATTGTCACTCGGGGTCACTTTAGGTGAACTTTATTAGCTTCGCTTATTTCGAATTAATTAATTTACTAAGAGGATATTAGATAAAACATTCTATTTAACGAATGAGATTTAAAGACCATTAAATTGTATTATTCACGCATTTTATGTTCCACTAAACTAATCCTATATATATTTATTATAAATTTTTATAGCTTTTCCACAAATTCCACTTATATCGTGATGTGCCTCAACCCTTGTCGAAGTCACAGCATTCAGGTAGCCCTCACCCTGGACAGGATCGCCTTATCCTTATGCATTGTTGACACCGCGCTTATTACGGAAGCTGAAGGAGAAAATACGTCGACGAGCTGCTTCCTGCTTATTTGCCTTTGTTTACGTTTTCTTCTTGTTATTTTTGATGTTTTCATTTTTTCCCTCCAGTTTTCAGTTGTTGGGCGACTGTTGTTTTTGTTGTTCTTGGCTGAGTAAATACGCTAACATACACACACACACACAAAACCTGCTTATGCGGCAACACGTTTCGCTTTGAAATTTTAATTTCTCACGCGACGCCAAAAAGTATGCTACAAAGGATAAGGCAAGGATGGTGGGCGGGGCACGGACTTGCTGGGCCCAAGCTGTTGCCATTGTTTGTTCTTGTTATTGTTGTTGTTTTTCTTGCTGCTGTTGCAGCCTACGCGGACTTAATTAATCTTGCTGTGGGCTTAGCCCGTTGTCCTGGCAATCCTCAGTTATCCTGGTTATCCCGTTCCCTTTTCCATTTCCCCCTCTTTATCCCCAATTTTGACGCTCTAAGACTTCTTTTCTACGGTTTCGGTCTGTTTCTGTTCTTTTTTTGGTGATAATGAGGCGACACTGGAACGCCTCTTTTCTGCGGCTGCATTAAAAACTGTTGAGCGTTGGCGGTTGATGGTTTGATTGATGGTTTCTAGCGCCTGAGCCCAAAAAACGGGTTAGACTTTTTAGCTTTTTCTCACTTTAATTAGAAACCAGAAAGTTAAAATATTTAAAGAGAGTTTTTTAGCTTTAAGAGCAGTTGTATAGAAATTAAAGAGGTTTCTTTTTCAAAGAGATTATTTAATCTAATTTAATATTTTTAATTATTATTTAGCTTTAAATTAAGGCGCAAATTAAGAACAATTTCCTTGATTACATATTTTCCCAGTCTTGTAAAATGTTGGCCATCAAGTAGTTGCATAATTTGGCCATTTCAGCGACTTAAATGTCCCGACATTTCGGTTCGAATTTTCGCAGCTTAATTGGCACTGCTATCGTTAAGGTTCTGTGGACCAAGTGGCATTCGGGTAGCCAATTTCCTTGTTTGGTCATTTGCTTGCCGACCAGATGGAGGAGGAGGAGAGGAGAAGAGAACGGAAAGCCGGAAAGGGAAGTGGAGCGACAGGAAATGGGTGAACGGAAGCTGTGTTGTTGCTACAAATTAACTGCAAACTGCAGTAAAGTAAATAAGAAATGTGCCAGAGGGAGAAAGTCTTTCGGACTGCTCGACAAAATGTTTATTCATCATCAATTTGTTTATTTCGATGGCAACTAACGCTTTCGATGTTTTTTATTTTTGTGCTGGCCATTTCATTTTAATTTCATGATCCTTTCGAGAGGAAGTTATCGCCTTGTTTACGGCAATGCGAATTGCCTTTGAAAATGTTATAACAGCACTCGTAAAAAGGACGAAATGGCTGATTATAAAAGCAAAGTTAATAATTAAAGCGCTGGGAAAATGTCTTCCTTTAAACACAATTTGCGTCTTTAAAATTGGAATTCAAATTGCCAGCATTTAAGTTTTAAAATAAGTTATCCAGATTTTTGCCACTTCCCTTTTCTGCTGGAAATAATGTTGGGCGGGAAAAGCGGCGAAAAAGTTTTTGCCATCCTTGGTCTGGGTGTTATTACTTAAAGATTCTGTTGCTAAAACTAAAACGTCGAGGCAGTCAAAACTTTTACAAAACAGTCAGCAGCTCTACCTCCTCTCCAGCATTACCAAACTCAAGGGATCATTGGGGCCGACGCATTTATATTGCCTTCACATAAATCTCAACAGACGTCAAAGTTTATTTCGCATTTTTGAAATTAAATAAAGATTTGTCACGTAGAAATCCATTTGCTGAAAGTCACCAACACATATTGAACCATTCCTAGCTTACACGCACACACGGACACTGATGAGAGAGCATAAAGTCAGACTGTACTTTCTTATTTCCTGTTCTCCGCTTTTCATTTTCCTAGACAAATGCCAAGGTCGAAACTTTGCCTTCTGAGATTTTTGAGGACTTTGACATTTCTATTTTAGTCGCGGAAAAAACGTTGACCGGAAGTGCCGCGAGTTTCCACTTCCGTTTGTGATTAAAGTTGAGTGGACGGAATTCGCTCAAAAATCTATGCGGAATATTAACAAAAGTTACATCTAAAAGTAAGCCGCTATTATTTAGATTTTTTCGGCGTCATTTTTTTCTCATCTGGGATTTATTACGGGTGTTGGTACCAGCATATGTTGGCATATGTTGCCAGTCACCTGCTGTGCCCTCTGGCTACGAATATGTGAATATATTTCCATGGTTTTCCCTCCATTTCGGCACCGCCACCCACAAGTCACCCTATTCCCTTCATACATAAACATGACGCGAAGCTGTCAATTCCTTTTCACTTGTCACTTATACGCCATGTTGGCCATCCGCAGCTCACTCTTTTTCAGTCTTATATCTTCTTCACCTAATTAGCAAATATGGCTAATGTGGGCGGAAAAAACATGAAGACCAAATTCAAAATGAAACCCAACATATGCTTCGACAGGTTGGTTTTTTGATTTGTAATAAAAAAAGAAAAAAAATAGTTTGAAGTCCAAAAAAAAAGTGCGGAAAGGAAAAACCACAAGGTGGGAAAATCACAACGAGATATCCATGAACCCGCGCACATGCAAATTAACAGGCAGCAAAAAATGGCAGGACAACGTTGCTAATGCGCCCCGTTTGCATTGTCTGCACTCATACAAATACACAAGACACACAGTATCACACACACAAACACACACTTACATGACTCGTCTGTCGTTGGTTTTAACAGAAGGATATTCTTTTGTTTAACCGAAGCAACGAATAAAACACAGACCTCTCTATTTCTCTCCCCCTTTCCTTTGTGTTTTTCTCTCTCTGTCTTTCTCTCTTGTTGCCAATGTTTTTCCCGAACTTTTTTAGCCGTCACACAACGAATCGCTTTAGCGGTCCAACAACAACTGAAGAAGTGTCCGCCGTTTTTGGATTTTCACAGCAAAAATCCTGTGAAAAGGATGCTGCTGTTGCTGCTGCCTTAACTTCGGCTGCTGTTGGTTAGTTGGCCTCTCTTATTCTGCAGAGGACTCAACACTTCGGGTGCAAGACTGTTAAAGTAACAGTTGGGCTTTAGTAAAGAGA